CGCAGTCACAAGGAGCAGAACACAATGTTCCTATACTCGCAAGTGCTGGGCCCAAATGGCTGCTGGCAAAGAGGTTTCAGTCTGGCAGGAGTGTGTCTTTCCATTTTACGGATTAGCACTGCAACATCGTCCCAAAATCACTTGTATTCCAGATACATCGGATTGCTATTTATACATACAGAATATAGAGTCGCTCAGTACAATTAATTTAATACAATAAACGTTTGGAACCACAAGGAGACTTCTACAATCGGTCAGATACCATTTAATTTGAATCTTCATGTCCTTATTTGGTCCATAATGGTTCCAAGATTCTAGTATACCTCCAAACATAGGTAGGTACTTCAATGTTTATTTAATTTAATTGTCGTTGGAGAATGACTCGAATGGTGTTCAGCTGTCACTGCTGTTCAACACTTACTTCGATCATTTGTCACCTCGTCCGGAGGCAAATCAGCTCTCCTCGATTCTAATCCTATCAACCTGATTCATCTGGATTAAACTAATTGCTTCTCTCTTTCAATAGACACCCATTGTGCCTATACTCTATCAAGGGAGTTACGCATAGTATTCATTTTAATTGCATTCTTCAATATTTTCTACGTCAGGACTCTTGTGACATTCATTTGATATGTCTTCGGAGCCTCGCAGTACTTCAATCGTTCTTCTAGTCATTTTCCTCAACCATGCAACCTGATTGGTCTATTAGACTAAATCACAGTCTTTTAAATTAATGCATGATCTCGTTCTAGAAGGAGTATTTGATAATTCCTGAGTTCTAGAAAGTCATTTTGAGTCAATCCTCGGCTCATGGTCACTTGAGTAAGTTCTTCCAAACTCCTGCCAGTGTAAGGTCCAATAAGAATACCCTTGGTATGTCATACATGAATGGTCATCCTTCGGATGTAGTCCAAGTCTGGTATAGTCCTGCTTGACAAACAGGTAGACTGCTATCCGAAGGTAGTATCGGGGATGGGTAAACTAACCAACTTGTGGTAGTATGGGTATATGGTCCCTTCAACTTATTAGACTGATTCAGTATTGACTTTGACTGTCAATCTGGGTCTCAATTACAGTCCTCTTGATACGGATCTATACGTGAAAATGTCACAATTCACAGCATAGACGTCTAGCCAAAATTTAGGCGTGTCACTGTATTCTATCAAACTGATCCTTTTTGTATCATATTCATCCATGTCGATGATTTGACTATGCTTACCAAGACCATGGCTGGAATGGACACTCTAAAGAAGAAGATCAGGGACCAGATCAAAGTCATCAATTCTGGAGAAATCCACTGGTTACTAGGGATTGAGATCTGCAGATCTCTACATACATGGTCCATTCACTTATCTCAAAGGGCATATATTGACGCAATCCTATCTCGATATGGATTTGCAGATGTCAAACCCCTTTCCATCCCATTTGATCCACACATACATCTTACCAAGGATCAGATGCCAACCACCGTCAAGGATATCACACACATGTGTGACAAGCCCTACAGAGAGGCTGCTGGCGCCCTACAATACTTATCAGTAGCAACTCGACCTGACATCACTTATGCAGTCGGCATACTGGCAAAGTTTTTGCAAAACCCCGGAATCACTCACTGGAATGCTGTAATATGTGTTTATGCATATCTCAAATACACCCGAGACCTATGGCTTACATTCAGAGGAACACAAGCAGAAATTGAAGGATACACGGACACTGACGGAATGTCCCAGGAAGATAGACATGCTATCTCAGGATACGTTTTCATGCTCAATGGAGGAGCATTGTCATGGTTATCCAAGCGACAAGATACAATCTCATTATCAACCACGGAAGCTGAGTACTGTCAAGTCCATGCCTCGGGCTTCCATTCCGCCGCTCGGAACTCCGAAGATCTGCCCTTTATTGTAATCTTACTCTTATTGTTCTTTCTCGCTACACATACCCTTTTGTTCTAGTTCCTCCTTATTGTCTTTTACTTTACCCTGCAGGTACTACTCGTATAGCTCCTAGTAGTTAGTCCAGTGCTCCGCACTGATGCGCCGATCTGTAGATATAAATACTGCCTGTACGCTACTGTAGTTCCTCAGTTTAATTATCAACTTAGATCTCCCTTCTCAACTTAGCTCTTCTCTAAGTCTTCAGGCTCAACGCCTTGAAGTACGTTCCACTCGACCTTAGGACTTGAACGTTCTCTGGTCCGCTCCTCGTCATCGGCGTTCCCGCCGCTCCGACTTGGCTGCCACTTAGCTCCTCCCTCTATACTCTCGATCTCGGGGACTAACGGCGTAACGGCGGTGTTGTTAATAACTTCACTACTGTCCCACTCGTCTTCCGCACTTAGACACCTTGTGGCCCTGGCACGGTTACACGGTGTACATGATCTTAACAAGTACATTGCTTCGACTCACGCTGCTAAGGAAGCAATTTGGTTTAGGAACCTCTTATCGGAACTATGTGGCCCTATTACAAAACCAATTATTCTCAATGCCGACAACCAATCCGCCATCGCTCTTGCTAAAGATGATCGCTTCCATGCCCAAACCAAACACATTGACATTCAATATCACTTTATCTGATATGTCATCAAAGAAGGAAAGATTTGCCTTGTCTACTGCCCTATGAAAGACATGACTGCAGACATCTTTACAAAGGCGCTTCCATCTCTTAAGGCCAAACACTTTGCTGCGTCCATGGGACTAACAAAGGTTTGAGGGGGAGTGTTAACATTTGATGACTCACATACCATCTATGGAACATTGTTCACATATTACAAACCACTATCTCACTACCGTGTTATCAATCTCACCATCGTGTACTATTACTATAGGACTACCAGTAGGATACATTGTATTGTAATTCCTTTTTCTCCCGCTATGTTTAGCTGTAACATGACATCGTCTACCTTGGACTTGTATATAAACCTGTAGTATTCACCTCGTTGAATAAGCAGTCCTCTCTACTCCTTCATCATCTGATCTGTGTGATCAGCTACAGTGCTATGTGCACTCTATCTCTTACTGCCATTGCTGCTGAACATAACGTGATTATATTCTGACAGTAATTGGGTTGTTGAAAAACCAAAAGGCTGAACTTGAAGTTTTGACAGCAGATTGCAAAACCGGAGGCGGGTTGGAAAAAAGCTGAGCTGATGGCTGGCAGTAACAGACCTGCCAGCTCCATATTTCCACCAACCTTGATCATTGTATGAGCAATGGAGAAAGCTGACTGGAAAAGTGAGGCACATAGTGTGGACTATGTACCTATGACAATTCATACAAATTTAATATATATAAGGTAGCAATTTGTCATGAGTGACAACATGTACAATGTATCCCCACTACAAATACTCTAATGGACCTCCTCTACCTAATATGACTCAATATCTTCTTTGCATTGGCCCTCTTCCTCCCCCAACCCCCCAGCAGCAAGCAGTCCAGATGTACCAGGTCTTGGACAGCAGAGCTTTCAATGGGACTCAGTCTTACTGCAGTGGTGACATCTGCAAAACCTGGATGTTCATGAGGGCAAAGATACTAGCTGGAGAGTGCTCTCCAGCAGTTTTTCAGTACTGCTGGGAGCACTTTTCCAGTTGTAAAGTGCTTTGCTGCTTTCCACTACTTTCAAGCTTTTAGCTGAAAATACAGGTTTTACAGCTGCATCCCCGGCCAAGGTCGGCCATCAGTTCAGTGAATATCTGGACCCGCCTCCAGTTTTGCAATTTGCTGGGAAGTATGGTATAGATCCTTTAGCGCCGCGCCCCGCACGGCAGTCCCCGACTCTGAAAGTCAATATTTTAGTTGAATATGAAACCTGATTTCCCTTTCTATGTAGAAAGTGTGCTTAAAAAAAAACCCACATAGTAGCCTGGCAGCATAAGCAGGTATGTCCAGGGTACATCTACCTACCTCTCTCCCATTGCCATGTTGAATCTAAAAATGTGTGTGTTCCCCTTGAGATGGATGGGAACAGCTCTGAGCCTCTCTGAGCAGTGCACTGCAGTGCTCCGGAAACAATCAGTGTGCCGGAACCCCCGAAAGGCACTGCACATTTGTGTCACTGGGACACTACCATCACAAAAACTCATGACTTTTGATTGCCATTTGGTGCGAACAAGGACCTCCTCTTTCAGAGTCGGTGACCCGGCCCATATAGTGCGGGCAGCCCTTATTGTGGGAAAATCACTGATTTATTTTGTACATGTGTACAAAAGACACCAGGAACTGCTTCATGCATCAATTGTCGGTGGCAGATACCAAAAAATACAAGAAGCAGAGTGAAAGGTAAAAAACTACGCAGAACAGGAGAAGTTCGGCGGAATCAAGCCGTCGAACATAGGGATACCGAACGGCCAAGCTACAACTAAAAACCCGACAAAACAGTGTACGTCAAAAGTCCCCAACCAAGACCCAAAGAAGTCAAGTTTTAAATAAACCGCAAGAGATAGATTGACAAAGGTTCGAAAGGTTTAAGCTATGAACATAAAGTAGAGATTATCACGAGGCGGTAACTAGATACAATCCAGTCAATATCCGCTTGCCGATGACTGATGAGAAAAGAGACAGAGCGCAACAAATCGGATGCGTGTGTCCACGTCAATAGGTGGTCATCATCTAACGCCGCAGATGGAACTACGGGAACCATTGTGATCGCGTTTGATTTGCTGCTAGTAAGAGTAGCGCTGTGATTAGGAAATTACGACGCAAACGACGGCGGGTCCTAAATTCATATGGGTTGGAAAGGACATAAATCATATGATTGTTCCCGCCGGGGGTGAGGATATGGCAGAATGTGAAGGCAGCAAGGCGAAAAGATGATAGATATATCATACAGTAAATGCAACACCATTTCCATCGGGGATTTTATTTTCGTTTACAGTGGACAAGATAGCAATGGGAGATATGAATCGTCTGGGGACTAGAATCAAGCATCAGTGCCAGTGACCAATCATCATGATTAGACATAGTAAACGCACATAATCAAATCAAGAAAATATGGCAGCCTCATACCATAGGCGCTGGGCGGAACGACATGATTTCCTCGTATAATAATTCCTTGAGCTGTTCGCGACTTATGTCGTCCTTGTGCACTAACATGAAGAGACGATGAGTTCGTGGTCTAGATAGCTTTTTTAAGCACTCACAATCAAACTCGAAAAACTCTGGGTCGAGTGGGGGTGCCACTGGCTCATCATCCGGGTCATGCTAATAAGAGGTAGACAATGAGCGAAGAACTCATCGGAAATATGAGGACTCACATAGGCTTCGAGATATGGATGTGCTAACGCATCTTCCACTGTAATTCGCTTCTTGGGATCGAAAGTCTGACGCACTAATCAAGACATGACACTTGAAATTGAAATACAAATGACAAACCAGCGTCTTGGCCAAAAAGTCTACAGCCAAAGGATTCGCATTCGGGAATATTTGAGAAAATGGTCGCTTTTTACGGAAAGGAAGGGCACGAATGTAATCTCTGGACCGTCTGGTGGTGATGGCATAGAACTCGTCAAGTGTGGGTGTTCCCAAGACATCGAGAATGAGGGTAAGCTGATGGTGGTAGTCTCTACCAGGGAATAAAGGCTTTCCCGAAAGCATCTCTGCCAATATACATCCTACAGACCACACATCAATGGCCTAAGAGGTATCTTAGACGAAGCCGGGGTACAAAAGACAATAGTGCCTGACCTTTGTATACTGCTTGAACGTAAGCATGATTTCTGGTGCACGGTACCACCGGGTAGCCACGTATTCAGTCATGAAGCCCGTCTCTGTACCAGATGGCTCGGCGGTTTTCACTGACCGTGCGAGACCAAAGTCGCAAACTTTGAGATCGCAGTTGGCGTTCAACAAAAGATTTGAAGGTTTCAAGTCTCGGTGGATCACATCGGCAGAGTGCAAAGCCTTGAGTGCACGAAGTGTTTGGTAAATGAAGTATTGGGCGTGATCATCGGAAAGATCCTGAGTTCGAATAACACGATGCATGTCGGTCTCCATTAATTCTTGAATGACTGTAAACGAGAATAAGTAACTATCCGCCTAGCGGGAAAATATCACGCACGATATACTTCTTTAAAGGCATCCAGCGATGGTGGTTTGATGATGTCCAAAACAGAGATGATCTTTTTAAAGACGATTGATTATACAGTCAGAAAGGATGATCATTAACTGAGGCACATACATTCTCGCTGACTCCCGCTTCACTCAGGAATTTGAGCAGCTTTAGTTCTCGAAGAGTCCGAAGGCAAAACATTGAATGATCAAAAGGTGCAATTTTCTTTATCGCGACTTTTCGCCCACTGGGCCGATGGACAGCAGAGCAGACGATGCCATAGGCTCCTTCCCCCACGACGTCTAATACTTGGTATTGGGTACCTATGGAGATGATGTACATTAGGACGAGAGCAGCGAAAAAAAGGTCTATCGGAGACTGACCGACATTGAACCGAACTTTTCTAGGTGCAGCTACTGTTGAGGCTGCATGACTGTGTTTTGTCTTGGAAGCACTCTTAGCTTCGGTTTGTGTCTGCGTAGTATCAGGCATCGGGAAAGACAGTGAAGGAAGTGGGATGAAGGGAATGGGATGAGGAAGGGTTGAACAATAACGCCCAATTTGGCCGATGTTATGTACTCAAAACGGAGAACAACAACGCTTCTTTTGGAAGCCCGCCGGAATGGAAACAAAAGGACAAAACTGATTATTCATATCTTGTATTTCCACTACCATGGCAATCGATACTATCTATCTGTCTATCCCACTATCCTGGTTTCAAGGGCTCACTTGAACTGCAACTGCAACTTGCATGAATCAGAATCCTTCGTCATTCATCTGTTTGAAAATGTAACTTCTTGATCTGAGCGTCCAATAATCAATTCCGGCGACAAAACTCATATGTCTGCAATCATCTGCAAAGTCATCACTGAAACCAATCTTGGTTATTCACCATCTGCCATTCTCAATGCGACGTTAGTGGAATTGATCCATGCCTCGATCAGATACTATCAGGTGGGTGGTAAGCTGAAATGGACTGGTGGGTGTCGATTGGTTCATTGTTTGAACTGACAGCAACCCGCTTATGGCCTAAATAAACAGCAAACACTACATCCTTCAGAAATGCTATTACTCTTAGTTTCTCAGAGAAGAAAAATTTGGTCGAAGGCGGTCCTATAGTATCAATGCATTGCCTTCATCAAGAAAAAGTGAACGCTACAAGATGAGGAGCAAGAACCTACTACCCAAGATCACCGGCTAGAATGATCGCGTCTCGGAAGAAAACAAGATAATTAAGGGCATCTTCAGCAGGTCCAAGGTACGCGGAAGATAACAGCTGTACGACGTCGACATCTCTCGAAAGCAAATAGCTTTATGAACTACCAAAATAGTGATATTTACAGATGCTTCGCTCTGCAAGTGTGTGACATTTAGACCTGTGTTATTCGAGCGAAAGATACGTGTCAAACCTCAGACAGCGGGAGATGGGGATGAGAGAACGCATAAAATAAAAGGTATTCCGAGTCCGATTGTGAATCGGTCCTCTTCGAACATTGCATCCATGGCATGAAGTATCCGGCTCGAGATCCTATTCGACGTTCCGACATTGTATTCTGCTGCCACTTGCTAATGTCTGTTGGTACGGGTCAATGGTTCATGTCGATCGGGCTGGCATCTGCTGGCATCCATTAACATTCTGTAAGTATACATAGCCCATCACTGTCGTTTGAATGCCCTTCGTGGTCATTTCCATCTGATATCTGCCCCATGCCAAAGCAACACCTGCTCTCTCCTGCTGTCTTATCAGCACATGAAAATTGAAGTTGAAGGAGGGTAGAGGGAGGATGCATGGATGGACTCCTTTGCTTGGAATTTCCTTATTTTTCAATCTCACTTCTCGTGATTTGGGGTTTGTTGTTGAAAGGACGCTGGACATCGCGTAATGTGGATAGAGTTATAGAAGGTTATAGACAGGGGACGCAAATCTTTTCACAACCGTGATATAAATCAATCCCACAGGCCACTGTTGTCATTGATGAATATGCAGACGATGCATCGTAACCACTGACAACCCCCCAATAATTGCCAGAGCAACAGGCGGAGCTCTTTGAGAGCTTACATATGGAAGCATATGGATCGACATAAGAATGGGAAATGCTATCAACCATATATAGATATGAGGCTTTATCTGGGCTTTATCGTGACCAATGGAGTTGCTGTATCAGTGTATGTACCGTACTGGCTTCAGAAAAGTCCCTACAACTTCAGACAGCAGTTAAAATTTTGACTATATGATTTTGAGAAGACCTTCGCGTTGCGACTAGCGACCTCTAGCGACCACAAAGAAAGAAAGTTGGATGCGCTGACTGCGAATGGTGCTGTGCAGTATGCAAGAATTTTCCTGGGATTAGTTACCAAGTTCAGTAACTGTGATCTGAACTCATTTTGGCTCATGTTGGAGAGGATATCAAGTAAAGCCAGTAGCTCAGTATCTTGATGATCATCTCCATACGCTGGTAGCGATCGCCGAGCTCTGAGTAGCGGGAGTGCCAATTGATGTTAGTAAATCTTTTCAAGGGTCCTAGTACTTAGGTGATTCTTGCCTCACAGGACGGCTCTTGTCATTGTTGTATAGCTCGAACTCCTGAGTTATGGGCTTGAGTCGCAGTCTCTCCGTAATTAACCTTTATCCCTCCTTAGACAGAAATCCAGTCATATTTCAATAGCAATAGTGCTTAACATGCTGGAATTGAATGGAAACGCGGAAGGAACATTGTGGTAAGTCAAAAGAGTTGATCCAAAGTATAGATAAGGAGATGCCATCCTCCGTCGCAGTTTGGGCCAAAATAGCACATCGGCAACGTTGTCTTTGGTCCACAAAGATGTGAGTGACTGGCATTACTAAATTTAATGTTGGAAGAGCATATAGCTTGCTTCAGCGGTCCGGTGCCCGACTGACCTTTGACGCTTAGTAATCCAATCATGCCAGTGGCAGTGATGCCAGCGCAAATTCTTTCTTTATCCGCTACAGGGTGTATCACCCTCTGGGTTGTATCTCGTTCATTCATACTGCAAAATTCATACTGCAAACAGATACATCCTCTCTTATACGAACCCCCCGAATTTGCCCAAAATGTCGATGGAACAGCAAGCCAAAGCTCCACCGGATATGAAGAAGGTGGCCCAATTTTTACGAAGTGGAAATGCAGGAGTCAAAGTGCGTGTGGGTGCTTTGAATGGCAAGAGGATCGACTACTTTAAGGGTACGTAGTAGCCATCTCTATTTGCACCGCTCTCATCCAAACATACGGTAATAGGGAAATCTGCGGTGAAAGCCCTTCTTTCACCAGCATACGCGAAGCAAAAGAATGTCCCGAAAATTTCTACCGAAATAGAGGCCCAAACCGTTTTGAATGCTGTGAATGCATTCACATTCTTCCTACGCGTTCAGCGCGGCGGTCCTTCGGGCTCCTCCTCTTCCTCTCCAAAAACTCTGCAGATCATACAGGAGCAAAAGTTTGCTCAGGATGAATACTACGCGTGGTTCTATGATGGATCGCAGTGGACGACGTATGCGGGTGGTATCCTCATGGTTGCAATTATGCTAGGAGGTGTTATGTTCCCTCTTTGGCCACCCACTATGCGTTTGGGTGTATGGTACCTCAGTATGGGAATGCTTGGTCTCATAGGGCTGTTCTTTGCTATCGCCATCGTGCGGTTGATATTTTATATCATGACGGTCATTGTCGCCAGCCCAGGAATCTGGATATTCCCGCAATTATTCGCCGACGTTGGATTCGTGAGTACTATTAGGTATACAGTTTGTGAATAATTTACTCAACCCTTTTTCCGCAGGTGGAATCGTTCATACCGTTATGGGAGTGGGATGTGCCGAAGAAGAAGTCGAAAAAGAAGAAGGGAGATAAGCACAAAGACAAGTCAAGCGACGTGGAGAAATTGAAAAAGAATGGTGGAGCATTTGTGGAAGAGGTCGAGGATTCCGGGAATTCCAGGCCTCAAAGCAGAACTGCAAAGGTTGAGGAGGTTGAGGATGAAGATGATTAGAGGTACATTACGACCCGAATGTGTTGGGGCGGCTGCTGTTGTAAACAAGACAACTCTTGACGATGTGGCTTACATCTACGACTCTATCTATTTGTTTCTTTCGCGCTAATGGGTCACGCTGTTTATTTCTCTTTCGATACACAAGTAATACCGACCTCTCCAGGATGAAACTCAGAGTAATGCTACATCCTTTGACTTTCTCTGTCCATCCAAAGTATTATCGTTCGCTCGTTCGCCCCCATTTTTCGGATCGCGAAAACGTGATTTTATGCGCTGTATAAATGTCCGGTTTATGTAAGTTACCAGCGATCAGTCACATGCTGGTCAAAGCGAGATGTTCTAAATCTATTGTTACACCTTCCAATTAACGAGGGCTTTCACTATCACTATTATTCAATATGGACATTGTGAGCACTGTGTATCCTTCAATCTGGCTAACTTATCCAAGACTCTTTAGCGTTTGACTAACCTACTCGGCTATTTTGACGTTACTGCCGACCTTTTTCCATGGCACAAAAAACGCGTTCAAGCAATCGAACAGCGTCGAGCCATTCTAGATGATACTCTGCTATTTGACATCCTGCTTACCCTTGGAGGAATACGAGAGCCGGATACACTTTTTCCACCAAACGATGCTCCCGGTCTACAAAGGCTTCTGAACGCGATCGCCGAGTCGACTTATGATGCGCTTAAGAAAGACTGCCTAATTTACTATCTGCTAAAATGGCATAGAGATGGACGAGAAAGAAGGTTTCAAAGGGACCGTTTGATTCCGCCACAGTTTGCGCAACTGGCAGAGGCGTACTGGTGTTTAGATGCGGCGGTGAATGTACCGGTGAGTCTCTGAATCTGTATTTTTTAAAGGGATGCAAACGCGTCAATAGATTGCGGTATCATTACTTTCCGACTCGCGCTTGAATCAGGACTATTCTTCAAAAATTCTACAAGCCATATCCACAGCATCTGACATTGACCCTCATCCACTTGTTGTCGGATATGTTCGCACCGCGAAACCACTCCTCACTGAACCAGATGATCTGGACCTTTACCTGGTTGCCCTTGCTCATCACGGTCTTTGTGAAGCTTGGAATTTCCAACGGTCTTTCAGCGAACTGAGTCCTGCGCGCTCGAGGCTATTTAAGAAGATGCTCGAGTGGTGTGTGTCGCGTACGTCTCTGTTGTCCGTTCCTTTTCACTAAGCTGAGCCCCACGCCCACAGCCAATCTAAAAACGACTGCCCTTACACATCTACTCACTATACCGCTCACTCCCTTTGAAGAATCCATTCTTCACTCATATGCAAGCTTTCCGTCTGTGGCTGCAAATTCCACAAAATCGCCTTCCTCCCTTGGTCTAGCAGCCCTCCAAAATCTTGCTTGTACACGACTCATACAAATAGGCCTGTACGCGGACGCCATCAAACTCCACCGACAGTTCTCTGTTGCCGGTTTAAATTTTTCTTTGACCCCCGCCGCAACTAAAATGATTCAACAACGTAAAGACGCGATCGAGAATCTTTATTCAACATTGCCTGTAGTTGAACGCACTTTGTTGGATGCTGAGATTGAAGGGACCCCCATGTTCAGCATGCCGACTACCAACGTCATCGCTGATGATACCAACATGTCTGATTCATGGGAGGACATTCCTGCTAGAGATCTTTCGAGTAGCTCCGTTCGCATGAACGGAGTAGTTTCTACGGTTTCTCAAAACCATCCTCAAATCAACAGAGTAGTTTTGCCGACACCTTCCGCGTCTGCGTCTGCTACTGCTGACCTGATTCCAAGAGAGTCTCTTGTACCATTGATTTCCGCTACGGCAGTCCCATCTTCCTTCACCCTTACCAGCTCAACGGGTCCAGGGAACCACGAAAACCTTGCTTCCTCACGTTCAGTTGCTACCCGGTTTGGTGGAGCACCAATCTTGCCAATTGCCGGCAGTAGCGGAGACTCAAGTATCGCTCTGAACTCGAGTTTAGGGTTTGGTGGTACACTCAACTCGGGCGGTAGCACAGGACACAGTCTCAATGGTGAACTTACTCGACTTACTCAGCCTTCTGGCCGGAAAAGTTTGCCATTCAGTTCCGCTGCCTTTAATTCTCCAAATGGCGCTCTCGGTTTGTCAACCTCAGGGACAAGCTTAGGGTCGACTCCGACATTCTCTTCATCTAAGCGAAAACCTAATGCGTTCTACAAGCCACCCATTGTGAATAACCCACCGTTATCCAATCCTTTCAGCATAGATGATCCCGCGCCCGAGCTGAGAGGGGCATCTCGCCGTTCGACTACAGGGAGCCATAGTCCCGAGAGGCCATCTTCATCAAACGAGAAACAAAATCGTAACAGGGGAGCTGATCAACTTGCTGTCTCAGAAGACGGAAGGCAAAATGGGGATATCTTAGAAAATGAAGCGATGGCAGTTGACGACGGTCAAGGTGCAGGACTCGACTATCCTCTATTCATCAATGCAGGAAGCAATAGTCCCGAAAACGATGAAAGAAAAAGCCAGAGAAGCTTGATTAGTGCAAGCGGCAGCACTAACAGTGCTGGCGTTAGTCTACGAACCTCTCAAAAGCGACCTCCTGGGGCGTTTACAGATGAAGAGGACGAGGATATGATCGAGGACATTCCCTCTCACCCTCCACCTCGTCAAACCCGTTCCCGAAAAAGCAACGTTCCTTACACTTCCACCTCAGCCGCCACCGCAAATACTCATACCTCAGCTTCCGCAAAATCCTCCGCATCCGCGTCAACTTCCGCCAGGACGACAAAACCAAGAGGTAAAAAACCACGACAGACGACTATAAGCTCGAAATCTAAACGGCGCGTTCCAGGTGGGATGTCTGATGATGATGATGACGACGAAGAAGATGACGGAGATGCCGGCCAGGAAGAAGTTGAAGAGGACCAGGACCACGTAGCGCCTTTGGCTGCTCGCCGTACGATGCGTAAAACACGCTCGTCGGTCGCTTCTACGTTGTCGACTGAAGAACCTGGTCCGAGGAGAAGGTCGTCGAGGATATCAGTGGCGGGAGAGGCGGGGGCTGGCGGCGCTTCAAGTAAAAGGGTTACCAGGAAATCTACTGCTGGTACCGGTGGGAAGCGGAAACAACGATGATTTATGGCATTTGTGTTGAATGGTTGTTCTACTGGTCTGATATTTTTTTTGTTTCCAATGAAAATTCTCGATCCTCCCTAACTGTGGGGAATAATCGCGATGTTGAGCAGACTAAGAATGAACATTTACTTATCACGAAAGTATATATACGAATACGGTACGTCAACACAAGAAACAAAGGGCTAAGCGTTGACTATCGATCTATGCAGTCTTTTTCTGTAGACCCTTCGGCAGCTCCTTGACCCAGGGCAAAAACGTGCGGCCTTGCATGTAAGGTTGGAGAACTTCAGGAATCGCAACACCCTTCAAAAGCACGAAAAGGGGACTCTGAGCAGGATGCCACCAGTGCAAAAACAAGGGACATACATCGGGGGTTTGGTGGTTCTCCACCAAACAACAAAGGGCGCGCTCGGTAGCGCAGAGAGTACCGTTCAACATGTGGCAGTAAACTTTACGCGTTTGATCCTTGTTCTTCAGACCGCATCGGACCTCTAATCGGCGAGACTCTGACAAAAAGATTCGATCAGTAAACATAGGAAGAATTTCAGGGGAGTTGAACGCACGGTAGTCAGTACAATTCGAACACGATACAAGCTCCTTATATCCCTTCTGGAACGGGAACCAGGCCTCCAGATCGTATTTCATCGCAGCTGCCAAATTCAGTGCGCTAGAGACAATACCCACGACTTGATACCTTAGCCCAAGGCTCTGATAAAACTCTTCGCTGTTGGAGATCATGTTCTCTAGAGTTTCCCAGCTCTTCTCCGGGTCATCTACGATAAATTGTTCCACCTTCTCGAATTGATGAACACGGAAGATACCCCACATATCTCGCCCGGCAGAACCAGCTTCTTTCCGGAAACACGTCGAGTAACCCGCGTATCGGATGGGGAGTTGGGTCTTTTCTAGCCATTCGTCTGAATGGAAAACTGAAATGGGTTGCTCCGAAGTTGCGATGAGATATTTCTCGTCGTCGTCTGCGATAACCTTTCGAACCATAAGGAAAAGCATCTGGGAAAAGATTTGAATATTACGTGCCTTGTATAGTTCCTCGTCGAATTGGTCTAATTGGGCTGTTTTAGCCATCCAATCCTTGTTCATCATGAACGGAGGCTGAATCTTCTTGTAGCCTTTCTTCCGTAGGAAATCAAGGCCGTATGAAATTAGTGCTTGGTTAAGATCAATTCCATCGTTGGTGAGGTAGTATCCTCGATGCCCAGCAACCTTAGCACCTGTCATAGTCTTGAGGACAATGGTCGAATAAAATGTAATGAGTCAATTTTACCCACCTCGATCAAGGTCCATAGCATCTAATCTAAGTAACACTTCATGATGAGGCATGATTCCAGCCCGTTCAGAAGGTGTGTCAGTTTCGTTTGCGGGATGCCACGTCCGTATGATGGAGTTATCGTCCTGACGAGTAGTTGTATATCGGATGTAAAGGAATAACGCTGCAACTCACCTCCGTGTCACTGACAGGTACTTTGGGTCCGACAATATTTCCAACACCAGAAGCCTTCTTGCGCATCAGTGCTTCAAATTCTTTCGTTTCTTTCCGCTTTGCCTCGACTTGAGCATCAAGGTCTTTCTTCTTCGCTACAAGATCATCTGCCGATTCTTTTACCTGTTCGACGGTTGGTACAGACTGCAAGTCATGTTTGGGTCATGACGCGCCTTCTTTTTCGCTGAAATCTCTTTCTGGACAGCATTGACCTGTTTGCTAAGCCCATTTGCTTCGAAATCCACTAAAATGTAGATGCGTACGAGTGAATACTAATGATAAATGTCAGTAGTGGACGTACTCTTCACCCAATCATTGTACATCTGTATGATTTCATCCACAATCTCGACTGAGTGACCTCTTTTCCGTTGGGACTCCCTAATTTCTTCAGCATTTCCGCCCTTATTATCGATGAAGTGTAGCACGTCGAGAGTCATATTGAGAAGTTGCCAGCGAAGAAAGTAAAAGAAAAGTTGACTCGAATCGATTGGCGCTAATCGAACATCTAAAGCGCTTATCGTATCTCCGAGTCCTTATCTGGTCTGTATAGGTCTGTATTCGTTAATTGCCTAAAATACAAGCCAACATGAAAGGTAAGCCCGTGAATATTTCAATACTCAATAGGTTAAATTATTGCCAACCGGAGTGCTACGTTCACAGAGCTCGGTATTTCCTCGTTCATCCAGGGCTAACGTCTGCTAACGTCAAACCTATAAAGGGCCCAAATTTGAACAAATGGTCTACTATCTACCCATACTCTACCCACCTCTAGATCTCGTCTGACCGCTGGCTGGAAATTTGATCACCTTTTTCTTTGCTGGACAAAGAACTTTCTCCCCTGTTGGATTTATGCTGTGAGACAACATTCTCTTTTGATTCTTCGTTATGTATTCCTGACTTTATATCTCCTTTAGTATCATTACGATGTACTCCAACCTCCCTCTCCGAGCTTCAGTCATTATCTTTCTATGCGTTGCCCAAATCGGGTTGACACCAGTAGAAGCTGCCCCTGTTGATTTATCGGTGAGTCCATTGTCCATTAGTAATATCGTAGATTTGCGATCTCAGTTCACATCATGATAAGGCAAGCTCAGTAGGGTAAATGCTGACTGGGTATTTAGGACATTGTAGTGCTCCCGCACACTCAAACACTCAGTCCGACTCCCACATACCTTTTTGAAGCGCGCTTGAACACACCAGCACCAGCACCCGCATCCAAAACTCCTTCAGCAATGATCACATACCTGACCACAGGCAAACCACCTCGCAGACCGCTCACTAGCGAGGTCGTCAATAACTACATTCGGAAACTACTCAATGATTTTGCCGTTGCTCATCTTGATGCAGTCCCACCCACTTCCCAAACAATCCCAAACGCAATTTGGATCAAGTATTCGGATAAATGGGGTGGCCGACCGAAGTATCAGGGCGATAACTATATGGAATATACGCTGAAGTTCGTGGTTTCAGGTGCGAAGGAGCAAAGTAGGGATGGGGAATACGAGGGATTGATGGTTTTTGTGCAGACGGGGAGACCAGACAAGGGTAGGGGGGCTCTGAGCTACAATGGGACTGTGAAGGATGGAAAGGGGATTGTGGTTACTGAAGTGAAGCTTGGCAAGCTAATCAACGAGGGCGGACATCATTGATTCTCACAATTTGCAAAAACTCGTTAAATATAGGGACATACAAAGAGCGTACCGGCTCATGCAGGTTCCAGAGATCCAATAAAGGGGTAATCAAACAAATGTATCATCAAGGAGGAAGTGGGTGTTCTGGTATAGCCTTGTAGATCATACAGTAGTACATATGATTCGAGTCTAGAAAATTGAGTCGTATGGAATCCAGGCCATTCAAGTATAGCCTATCGAATTGACTTCACGAGATCTTGTAAGAGATAAATAGCCCAATGAGCTGAGATGTATGGAACTCCTGAAGCCAACTATTGTGCATATTTTGATTCACTTTCTGGTTCCAGGATTTTGTCTTCGCCCTTGTTCGTTGTCCCCTGTGCATCTGGCAAGATTGAGTCTCCGAATACTTCCGCCATTTCTTCCAATGTTTTACCTGGAGAAGAAATATGATGAATATAAATCTGGCATAGATCGAAGGAGAAGCAAGGATTATTATGGAAACGCACCCTTTGTTTCAGGAAAAAACATCACCATCACGATAAGGTTGACAAAATTGCAGCAGACAAACACCAGATAAAATTTGTATCCAACATTACTGATTCCGATAGGTGATACCTGCCAAAGAAATGAACGAGTCAATTTGGTTGCATAACACAACTCACTTGTGACAGCATGGTATTGAAAGCCCAGTTGCAACATGTTGCAACACTGGTTCCGATGGATCGAGTACTTGTTGGGAATACCTAAAGAGAGCATGATCATACAGTAAGTCCCGAGCGAGGTGAAAATTTTTGCTTACCTCCGAGGCCAACACCCAACTTACAGGGCCGAAACTTGCAGAAAAGATGATATTGGTAAGGAAAATCATGGCAATCCCAGCACTAAGTAAAATGCTTCAGTGAAGTCTCACAGAAAAGGTTCTGGTCCTACATTTGAGCACCTGGATCAGCAGGTTTGGTAGAGGTATCTGATACAGGGTTTGTTGCCAATATAGCTGCAACAATTGAAAATGTTGCCACAAATGTTATAGCACCAAAAATTAGTGGCTTTTTTCGTCCAACACGGTCCACGATAAACAGGATGAAACTAAACGGAAATGTCAACAAAACGTTTCCCAACAATACAACCACTTACATCAGAGTGGCAATTGGTCCGACAACCCCATAGATACCTTGCATGAGAAGTGCTTTCCCTCCCGTCATACCAAGACTTTGCCACATAAGAGGTCCGAAATAGCTAATGACTTTATAACGTCACAAGTCGAAGGAAGCGCATGAGCTCAGCTTTGTTGCGCAAATAAAAAGCCTATGCGTACTGTTGATCCCAGTAAATTGGGTAAATATTTGAACAGCGCAGCTAATCAAAGTACGCTTCATCATAGCATGCGTTGCCCAGAGATCGCTAATTTTCCGACTTCGGATGAGTATTTCGGCCTTAATAGTATCGTGCATTTCATTGTATTCTTGTCCAGCAGCTTCTTCAAGCTCAGCCGAGTTTTGAGCGCCATGAAGCAGATATACAACTTTCCGGGCTTCCTCGTCTCTACCTACTTCGAGGAGCCATCGCTTTCATGGGGAAACAAGTTGGAAGATGGAGGAAGAACAAGAGAGGTAAAAAATAAACGCACAGGACTGTATGGTAGAAACTGGACACCAACGAGCAACAACGCGGCTGGAAGTAGCTACAGTGAGAATGTATATCAGAGAGAATAGCCAAAAGCTAACAACAAATCCAACCTGAAGCCCCAAAGGTAATCGCCAGCTGGCATCGGAGTCAATAAACTGACATCCGTAACCGACCTGGAAAGGAGAGTCATTTTCAAGCTTAGTGTTGCACTGTTCCGCATACCCAGTTCGCTACGAGAAATCCTATTCCTATACTCTCTTGTGTCAGGCCAACGAGGAATCCACGTATTTTTGGGGGAGCGATTTCAGTCTAGTATGTTCAAGATATCAGTATAATCACACTTCTTATCTCATGCAAACACCCACGTTGTACAAAGGCACAGTCATCGACAAGATCCTGTTCGCGGGATTATATGTGAGCTCAGGTCGATCAAGCTAAAGACTCCGAGGACAAACCCAATCGCAAATCCTGCGATTATGCGGCCGAGAATGAGAGTCGCAGTGTTGTGTGCGCCGGTTTGCATTGCGCAGCCCCACAGGATTATAGAAGCACCAAACTATTGTTTGGTTTTAGTATTCAGAACGAGCCAACATGATGAACTTCACTTGAATCGTCCGTTTCCGACCATATCTGTCGTTCAGCCTGCGATACCATGTTGAGCTTTTCATTGAGATATGAAAAGGGGAAATAATTCGTACCATCCCGCAATTGCAGCTCCGAAAAAGCAACCACCTAAAAGCCGAGGGTACTATCACTATTAAAACACAAATGCAAAGTCAGGCAAAGTCACCAGGCCTACGTACCACTGAAAGTCGACACAATGGCGCCTTGTATGCTCGGGTCTGCACTAAACCGTGTCTCGAAACGATTCATTGTCAAAACTGAGGCGATTATACCACTGGGAGCCGTTAATGGTTTCCGGGAAAGATTCGCGACGGCACACACACCTATCATAGCTAAAAGTGCGATAAGTCTCCGGAAACAAAAGAATTAGAAGCGACTCACCCAAAAAGAAAGGCGCCTGACAATCGTGAAGATGAGACTAATGATTTCGGATAACAGGAAACCCTACCAATAGAGGAGAAGGCTGCGATGAAAGTGTTGAAGAGTACGCCCATGACAATCCTGGAGAAGAATTTATAGCACTATACAGGCCATTATATACATTTCCCCTCCTCAACCTAAAGCCAGGTGATCATCTGGTAGAACAAGCTTTTTCGTACCATACAATGATACAGTCACGTTGAAGAAGGACTTGATGAATAGTTCAAAGAACCTACCGCTCTATCAAGAAGACGAGAATGCCGTAGACAGTATTGAAATCTGTCAATGTTCTAGTATCTCTTGCTGCAAAATCAGGTTTAAAGATCTTTCCAATAAGCTCCAATCTTAGCGAAAAAGCTTAGGATCCGATGAATTTGACGGATCCGTGAATCACAAACAGGATTTTTGAGCCTGTCTGAGCCTGTGCGTCCATTATGCGATGATGAAAGCTGATAACCACGGTAAGCTCTATTCCAACGGATAGATTATAGGAAGCCGTAGACATTTCAACTAGGGAGATTGTCATTGTAGAGGTGGGCCGTATACAATGTACCATATACTATAGGTTGAACCTGGGTTAAACCGTTGAAGGAAAACGGATCCGGAGTGTGCCGTTACGTGACGTGTCTTTCACAGGTCACGTGGACATCCCAAGCCCGAATTCACTACAGCTTGAAGTGATTCTTCTACCTTCGTACCAGGCATTTTTCTAGACAGGTTCTCTTCTTTCTGAAGCCTTGGTCGTATTCACCAACATTGGCGAGACTCGGCTTGCTGTATTTTTACGTGTCGGCCAAGGGTATCTGACGTGGCGATTGAATTTACACCGAGTGCTTTTCCTCACACAACTTCTCTCTTTGAATGGCGTCTCCAGCTCAGCAACTTCCTCCAGGATGGGCAGCAGAATGGTGAGCGGATAAATCTTTTTCTCTGTAGTAATCTGAAAGGTCCACAGGGAGCAGACTCACCAAAGGTATCTTTTTATTGGTGAGTTTGTTCATCGAACCGCAGATTTCTATCCCCTGATTGTATCCAGAAACCGCGACGGGACACACGCAATGGGAGCCGCCTACGGAACCCAGTGCTCAAATGCAGCAACCGGCAATGGATAGTCCGCCAATTGGCGCGGCACCAGCTCACCATTCTAAACGACGTCAGTATGCTGCTGGCCAGACTCAGGCGTATTATGGGAGTGCCGAAGAGCCTTCTATGCTTCAGCCTATGTCACAGCCTCCGCAACAAGCTGGAATGGAGCCGCAACTTTTTACGCCTGGATTAGCTGCTCCGTCCTTCGCAATGCAACAGCAAGGTCAAACTCAGCCTCCGTATTATGACCCAAACCAGGCCCAGCAGCAGCCAGACTATATCAATAGTCAACAACAGCAGCCTGCATACGGCCAACCAAATCCCAACGCTCTTGCTGATCAATTCAGTCAAATGGGATTAGGCGGACAGAGGTCATTTTCGCTTCAAACAGCCAATCTTCTCACATCTCCTCCCGATCCTCGCGAGCTTTCCCTTCCTCCACCGGAAATACGGCTTCCTCCTAATGCTACAGTCACCCCTTCTCAGTTCGCCAACGCTGACCCGTCCTACCAGAGGTCAACCTTAAACGCGTTCCCCAACACCTCGTCCTTGCTGTCTAAATCCAAACTACCTTTGGCGTTGGTTATCAGCCCTTACCGCACAGTATCTGAGAACGAGCCTCAAGTTCCCCTCGTTACTGACACTGTCATTGCACGGTGTCGTCGTTGCAGAACCTACATCAACCCATTCGTGCAATTCATCGATGGTGGTAACCGATGGCGATGCTGTATGTGCAACTTGAGTAATGAGGTTCCGCAGATGTTTGACTGGGACCAGACCCGTAATCAACCTGGAGATCGCTGGAGCCGAGCCGAACTCAGTCACGGTACGGTCGAGTACGTTGCACCAACCGAGTATATGGTTCGACCCCCTCAACCTGCTGTCTACGTTTTCCTGATCGATGTCAGCCATACCGCGGTTCAGTCTGGTGAGTTTTGTATCTCTCTACACCGTTCAATACTCACAGCTCTCCCATAGGAATGGTGGCTACTGCTACGCGTACTATTCTCGAAAATCTTGATCGCATCCCAGACGAAGACGATCGAACCAAAATTGCCATTGTTTGCTTTGATGTTTCTCTGTATTTCTTCTCTCTCCCTCCGGGTCAATCCGAACCTACGATGTTGGTCGTTTCCGATGTCGATGATGTCTTCCTGCCGAAACCCACTGACCTTCTTCTCAATCTTGCGGAAGCACGCTCCGGCGGTGGACTGCAGAGTTTGCTTACCAGAATCAATGACATGTTCAAAGAAAACAGCATCATTGGTAGTGCACTGGGACCGGCTTTACAAGCTGGTTTCAAACTCATGGTACCGATTGGAGGTAAAATCATTGCGCTATCGTCAAGTCTTCCTAGTATCGGTGTCGGAGCGTTGAAAAACAGGGAGGATCCTAAAATTTTAGGGACTTCCAAGGTGATCTATGACCTCCTCACGCCCAACATTGTACTCATAGCTGTGATCAGGAGTCTGGCCTTTTGCAAGCTGCTTCGCCCTTCTATAAGACGTTTGCCATTGAATGCTCCAGGGCCCAAGTCTCGGTGGATATGTTCTTGTTCAGCAGTGCATACCAGGACGTCGCGAGCTTGTGTAAGAGTTCCATAGTACAATCTCTTGTTTCCTTATTCAAACTCGATTTCCCCCAGCATGCTTGCCTCACTACACGTCCGGTCAAACATATTATTACCCTGCTTTCAATGCCGCACGGACTGAAGACGCGCTTAAATTCGCGCACGAATTTGGGGAAGTCCTCGCAATGCCAATAATGTTGGAAGTCATCATGCGTGTGCGCGCTTCAAGGGGTCAGTTTGTCTTTGGAAGGCTACCGATGTTCTTATTAATTGTTCGAGAACAGGACTACGTATGTCGTCCTTCCACGGCAATTTCTTCGTGCGGTCGACCGATCTATTGGCTATGCCCACTGTCGCAACAAATCAAGGATACGCCATCGAAATTCAGATTGAGGAAACCATCAATACGCCTTTCGTTGTTTTACAGACGGCGGTATTACACACCACTTGTTATGGTAATGAATGTTCCAGGTCGTCCTCTTTTTTCATCTGTGCTGATCTGTATATGATTTGGCTCAGGCGAACGTCGGATCCGAGTCGTTACGAGTGCCTACCCCGTCACTTCCAACCTTTCCGAAGTTTTTGCCTCTGTTGACCAGATCGCACTTGCTGTTCTACTCGCAAATAAGGCTGTAGAACGAACGTTGTCCCACAAACTCGAAGATGCCCGTGATGCCGTATTTAACAAGCTCGTAGAGATCCTTCAGACGTACAAGAGTAGTATGACTGCCGCGGGTGCGGGAGCTAGTGCTCAGTTGGCCATTGGAGAGAATATGAAGATGTTACCTGTGCTGGTTTTGGGTTTGTTGAAGAATGTGCGTCGTTCCCTTCAGAAATCTCAGAATCATGGTCTTAAGTGAGACTTAGGTTGGTATAAGGCAAAGCGCACAAATTCCCCCAGACATCAGAGCGTACTCGCAAGCTCTGTTGACTTCGTTGCCTGCTCAACTGTTGATTCCGTACATATATCCATCGTTTTACTCGCTCCATAACATGCCTCCTGAGGTTCGTGAATCTATAACAAACATACTTCGAGGCAGGGCTAAACAACCTTGATAGGCTGGAACCGTAGGTCCAGACGGTGTAATCATGCCGCCACCGCTGCCGCTCACATCGGAACGATTAGAGAGACATGGCCTGTTCCTCATCGAAGATGGTCAGACTATATTCTTGTGGGTCGGTCGTGATGCAGTACCTCAGCTTATAATGGATGTATTCAATCTCCCGAGCTATGATGTGCTGAGAGGTGGAAAGGTAAGGGACCTGTTCAAGTACGGAACACTAATCATTTAACACTTCTAATAGACTACTCTTCCTGTGCTTGAAAACTCCTTCTCTCAGCGAGTCAATGCTATTGTTCAGAAGACCCGTGAGATGCGCCGCGGAGTATATTATCCTCACCTCTACATTGTCAAGGAAGACGGAGAACCACCTCTTAGACTTTGGGCTCTGTCTGCTTTGGTACAAGATCGTGCGGATGTGCTTCCAAGTTACCAACAGTTTATTTCGTCGCTCAAGGAGAAGGTAAGCTCTGGGCTATGCTAGTAAAAATCAACATTTTATCTGACTGTGCATATGAAGGTTAACGGGAATGGTGGCTATTAGGATGTTTTTTAAAGTATAATATGCCAATTCTTAATGATCCTTGATGGCCCAGTGCCAAAAACTCGAACGATTTGTTTAATTGTTGGATCCGCTTTCTTCACTTCAATATATATTGTCTCCCCTATCGTTATTCTATCCCATACTTTCGTCGATGCCCAATGGGTTCTTCCCCAGTGCTGTATCCTCATCCGAGATCACCTCGCCTTGGAGGAATGAAGCAAAATAAACAATACCACAATGGCCTATTCTGGCTTATTGTTGGCATCAGCAGGATTCATGCTGAACTCCATGGCACTGTCTTATGTATCAGACCCTGTATAAAGTGTACAATGTTTAACACGGAGAATGTCTTTTCCGAACTAGCCTTTTTTGTTGTGTCTCTCCCTCCTCGTCACCGCAACAACTCCTCGAATTGATGAACCTGCCAATGGCACCGTCGTTGCTCCCGGTGCTGCATTCAACTTACCTCCTCTTACCTCTCCGTTGCGGACTATAGCACTACCACTTACAACTAACTACACTGTATGGCTCTTGATTGTTGTGTAAAGGATATTTGTATAACATCCAGAACATATCCAGAATATATAGTGCATACCCTGACGACTTGTACGTACATATTCAAGGTATTGCCATTTTTTTGTGGGGAAGGGGGGTCACAAAGCATTGATTTCAGGCAATGCGACGGGTTTTTGGAATTAAGGCCCAGAGACCGACCATGGTACACATCATTGCAACCAAGCTAAGGAAAAAAGATCTTTAGTTCAAAAACAATTTGACGAACTTAGTTCATGAACTGACAACGGTTGCAGAGATTTGATACCGTATTTTGAAGCAAGTATACCAGTAATGAAAGGCAAGGCCGCAGAACCTGCCATCCCGACTCCGGTAATCAATCCCATACATGCTGTGAAGAGGTAGGCGGGTATCACTCGCGCCCCATGACCAACTAAGATAGGCCATAAGGGACCTAGGAGGACTCCAACAAAAGAAACCTAAGCAAGACCAGTTTCAATGCTTGGTAGCAGGAACTTTGGTGGAAGGTTTACCGCAACAGCGTTCTCGATAATGGATGGCACAAACCAAACTGTTAATTCCAGTCTAGAGGAAAGAGAATTCACTGCCTTCGCTAGAGCCTCGACAGGAGGAATTATACCCGATTGAAAGTAAGACATAGATAAATACTACTGTGTGTTCACCGATCTGGCAAAGAAAGGAAGATCAATTGAAATCGAGTCCGGAGCACAAATCTGAAACTGGTGCCCACCCTCTTGTTGATGTACATCAGTGCGAGCCGACCCAGAGTGAGTCCTTTATAGCAAAGACATGAGTTTCAAGAAACACCCTTGGTAAAGCGAGTTACTCCTACCACCAAAGAACCCAGACGAGATGTATCCAGCCGCAGCACCTCCGTCACGTTCTCGAATGATGAAAGTAACGATCCAGCCTGAGATAGCGATTCAGCACCTGCATCTAAAAAGAGACCATACTGCGGCATGCCTCCGATGGTCACTTCCACTCCAACATATATGAGTGCGAATACCGCTAGAAGATGAACAACACGGATGTTGAATATCTGTTGATATAGGTTGACGGATGTTGGAGTCGTAGTGAACGCATCTTCACTGGGTTCTTGGCCTATTTCCATCAGGAGTTCTAACAGTGACAGCCAGAGTGAACGGATGCCCACTGGTAAAAAAAACTGGATCTCCTCACCCTCTTGGCGTTTAAATCGAAATACAGCGCATAGAATTACAGTGTTTGATACCGCAATGCCAGCAGAAATAATATAGTGAAAGGACCAGTGGCGTGCTTGAGAGAATTGGGTTGCGACCAGTGGAGAGCAAAAGGCACCCATTCCTTCGAACCCATCAGTAGACAGCAGTGGTCGGGTCGACAAGTATTAAGCCCTACCATATGATGCATGCAGCATCATAAGTTTTGGAGATTTATTCTTTTTGAGACTTCCTACAAATCCGTTGGCTTGCGCGCCCTAGTTGTGATTCAGATGAACTAACGCGAATGATAGCGACAATTGGTAATTACCTGAAGGCTCATGCCAAATCCAGCGAAAAGAAAAGAAACCACCAGCGCGGGGAACAAAGGCACAGGACTTTGAATGACATATGTAGCAAGCAGGAAGAGCGACCCGAGTATCATGACCTGAAGAAGAGTGAGTTGATATACAGACCAGTCTGTTATACGCGAACCGACCTTTCCAAAGCCCAATCGTTCATTGAGCCAAACATTTGCTCCAGCCCCAATGATAAAACCCTACCAAGGTTGAAATACAAATGGGTTACGAGAGAACACCAGGAGAAATGGGGTCTTTCAACACTCACACAACAATTGGACACAAATAACAGCGATACAACGGAAAATCCAACCTATGAAGACATATTAGATCAACCGCATTTTCTTGGAAGCAGAGATCCGTACAGAATAGTAAGCTTGGATCACGGGGAGAAGTGGGCCCACGGATCCATCGTTCCAGCCTTCTAGAGCAAAGCACCAACACAAAGCGGCAAACTGAATAACGCTTCGCCTATTCTGTTTCCGGGCGACCTGATCGGTAACAGCTGGGGATTCTTCATACTGCAATGGCCGAGTTTGATTCAAAATTGCAGTCGTACTTTCAAAAGTCTGTGTTCTAGTTGGGGGTACACTGTCTTTGAGCGACGAGGCTATTGTGGCTATCGTTTCCGTCCCGGAATCTGCTCGAATGACAGAAGGACGTCGCGTTCGTTCAGAGAGATGCGAAACTGGAAAAGTATGAAGGTCGAGAGGGTAGTTAAAGTCTTGTCCGACAGATGATAATCGTCTTGCATTTGTATTTGCACCACTAGCTACTATCGAAGTAGCGAGATGCTTTGGGACGGCTACTTCGGATAGCTCGGGTACGTCGCCATCATCGAGAGCGGAATCGTCCGCAGATGAGTCTACGCGGTCCATGACATTGTCTGATCTATGTATAATATGTGCAGCGCCAGCGAGGGAGGTCATTTTTGAAATCTACGTGAATTGTAGGCAGAAAGTCCAGTCGAAAGTGATAAGCAGACGCATATTATGAAGAGGCCTATTTATCCGATACATCCAAACGGCGAAGGAAGAAAGGTCCGACAGTGGATGCCAGGGATTGTCAGAACTTCATTTCATGGTCACTTCGTGGCTCAAGTTCCGGAAATATGTTTAAACTGGATCAGTAGATTTTATGTCAAAAGGAGTGTACGACGAGGTTGTGGGTAATGTACGTACAACTTCACCTACATAATAAGTACATCAACCTCTCTGTACACGTCTGCACCGAGTTACGACAATTTTCCGGAAATCTATGGAGTTCCGCATTTTACCCCGCATCAAGCTTTCGTGAGGCATTACGAATTCGAATCAAGCCCGCGACGACTTGGATTCTTCAATGTTAGCTCTGGAAGCGGATATGTCTGGATATGTAACGTGAATCGTGAATTCATTTCCGAACGAATAGATGTAACAGTCAGGCGAAGTGGATGGCATTTACATGCTCTATACGGCGACAAGTCCTGCCATTCTTTCAAACCATCTCACGAGGGACGCAACCTTGCGCACACTGGCATCGCTGCCGCCAAGTCGAAGATCTGGTCTTAACTGCATATCTTCATGGGCGTAGGGCATGGTACGATAGCAAATTTCAAGTTTGGATTTGAGATTGGGTGACGCAGTAAGTGTCGGTGAAGTCGAGGGATCATGCGAAGCCGTTACGTCTAACAGTAACAATCAGGTTCGGTAAACAAAATAGTGAAGGTCAGCTTTACGAACTTTGAACGAGAACCACATCTCCACGTTTTGCTGCTACATCCTTCGGTCCGGAACCACCCCAGACATCAGCCGTCTCCCTCCAGGCAGTGAGTTTAGACAGAGAACCATCCTCGTCGCCCAATATCATTTTTAGAATTGAAATCTCCTTGCCTGCGTCGGGGCCCTTTTTCGTCCGGATCGTATCCGGGCCCTCGACTTCCAGAACAGCAAGAAGTACATTGACTTTGGTACTACCAGATACAGTCTTGCCTGATTTTCGGATGACAGCAAGAGATGTAATGGAGTGGAGATTAAAATGGAACTTTGGGAACCGAGCAATGGAAGATGAATCGGAGTAATTGAGTGATTGAGATTCTTGCGTTTCTTGAGTCTCAAGTTGAGATTCAAGTCGGGTAGTGGTGTTGATAAATGATCTGGAGTTGTTCAGCCTAATGCTTCCTTTCGAGTTTTCTTCGCCGACCATAGGTGTTGGAGGCCAAGTAATGAAAGTCGACGCGTCTATGGAATATTTATCGAATTATTGCGTGTACGAGCCATTGCTTGGGCATACCTTCTTCCTGCAGCTCCTCTGGTTCCTCCTCAGATTCAGTATCTTGAAAAATGGCGTTCTGGTAGATCAAAGATATCCGACGACTTGCGGCTTCCAATGTCGCAGGCGGCGGAAGGGAATACGGCAAAGATAGAGAGAGCGGGGGCCCATTTGTAACATCCTGAGGAGAGCATACCTTTGTCCATGTATATTGTAGGTTCTTTCTGGAAGACTCTGAAAGACATTTAGCAGAAGGAGCTCCTAGAAAGACGTGGTACATGGGAAAGCGAGGTCTCGTGATCATGTAAGCATCTCGATTCTGATTCTAAGTCTCCGGCCTTTCTGTCCATCCTTCTTCAATGTCGCGTTCATATAATTGACTTTAATTCACCAGGGACTCGAATGCCTATACAAGCAAGCTCTACTCAATTCTTGGCAAATGGCCTCTTCATACAATAATGACTCGCTTTCAATAACTCCCTCCTGGCCATCTCTATATAATCCCCGCTCAGAACTATTCGACATACAGCGTCATAATCCTATTCAGCCCGGAGGATTCTATCTTGTCAACTCACAAGGTGGGTAGCTAGTCAACCCGAAATCTTCTTTTGTTCTGATACCCTGACGTTGTATCTCCAGATGTTTTCCGGTTCACACTATATTGGACGCTGGTATTCTATATACCGGTCTTTGTCCTCTTTGGGCTATACGCGTTCTTCAATCTAACTTTTCCACCACACACGAACCGGGAAATTGCGTTTGGAAGATTGCACGACGAAGAAGACGACGCAATGGATGATGATGAGGAGGAAGAAGATGAAGATGAGGAGGCCTATCCAATGTCTCCAATGTCTTCTGATCCCCATCCCCCGCGTCATCGTCACAATCCACGAAATGGATACTACGCCACTTTGCGCTCGGAAATCACTACCACTTCTACTGTTCCTACTACTTCGCCACCTTCAGTATACATTCAAAGCCCTACATCAGCTACAGCGGGCCATCCTTTTCTCTCAGTATCGCACACTTCACCAGCGCACTTCTATCCTCCTCATCCTTCGTCGTCTTCACACTCCCCGATGATCACCAAAGCGACTGGAAACACCAAAACTCCAGTTTTGAGAAATTTCAGTAAATCTTTGAATAAAAACAAAGTAATGAAAGCCAATAAATCCAAAAATGCAGCCCGTTCTCGAATAACTTTTGCCCTCTTGGTCTTTTTCGGTTTTCTTATCTTATCTCTCATCGGCGCCGTCGTATCTTCAGCGATAGTGGGGTACATCCTTACCGGGCTATATAAGGCTGGAAAGTTTTACATGAGTACTTGGGTACCTTTTTTGTGGGCCGCGATCAGTGTCATGGTTGGGATGCTGAAGTGAGCTATTTCTTGCCCCAGTTGTATACTAATTCTCATACGGTCTTCCTAGTGTCTGGCCGTCAGTTATCAACTTGATATAAGAAATTTCAACCTTATCTCTGTATATCGAATGTACGACGCAAGGCAAACGCAAGGGGTATCCCCAGTTTCCCCAGAGTAGCCTATTATTCAGTTTCACGGATCTCCGGGACCAGGCTGAACATTGAGCCGCGCTAACCTTGCAAGTACGTACAAACTCAACCTTGTTATTGTTGTTACATCCAATCATTTGACATAATGAACATAAGAAGAGCATAAGAATCAGGACTAACGTCCCGGTAATATCTACTGGAACGCAAGAGAGTGCGAAGAGCGAAGAGCAACGGACCCTATAAATTTTTTACGTTTCCCGTCATCCTCTGATACATCCAGAGAAGGAAGCAAATAAAAAAGACCAATGTGTGGCCTTTCGCTTATCTACCTACCTTTTTCTGCCTCCTATCATGTCGTCCTTTTCCACCGCCGTCCCACCCGCTGCGGGGGTTGGCTTGAAAAATGCCGTCTTCGATGGCGAGCCCTCCTTTCCAGTAGACGAATTTGCGCTCGATGATAGCGACTCAATAGATTCACCTGTAATTCTGAACCCTACTTCAGGCGTTAATCCAAAACATGGTACCAGCAGCATGGAATCATCGATCGTCGCAGTTACTGGTACGAATGCTGATTCGAGACGGCTATCGTCCACAGTACAGGACCCTCTCCATTCTCTACATCCTTTCCCAGCTCGCCTACTATCCGAACGCACCCGACGCCCTTCCGTCATTCGGGCAGAAAGCTCAGATTCAACCGCTAAAACAATCTTAACCTCCTTCACTGGAAAAGAAGACCAGAACATTATATCCGTTCCGGTGACTAGGGTGCCGACCGTCGAAAGTACATCTGGGATTCTTGATCGAGTTCAGCAATTGCACTACCAGGAATCGTCGGCAAATCAGGTCATCAAAAAGCAAAATAGGAGGAGTATGATCCATTTCGCTGCTTTGTGCTGGTGTTTTATATTGGAAGGTTGGAACGATGGATCTGTCGGACCTCTACTTCCGGTCATTCAAGCTTATTATTCTGTATGTCGTCCAATGGACTTCACAGCCCTATCTTCATCATAATTAATATACTTCTTCAACTTAGGTCGGGTTTGCTGTGGTGTCGTTGTTATTTGTATTCAATTGTTGTGTAAGTGTTCTAGTTTATCATACTGCCTACTCACACGTTGCACATAGGGCTTTGTCATTGGGGCTGGGATAAACATTTGGCTCAACGAGCGATTAGGATTTGGGAAGGTTTGTCTTGGGTGATTTCTGGTTTGCATCACTCAAGTGAATAAAACGTTACCCCAGGTTATGGTTCTCGGGTCTCTCTTACAGCTTGCTACCTACGCAATTCAAAGCCCTGCTCCTCCTTTTCCTGCAATGGTTCTGTCGTTCTTTCTAGCTGGGTTAGGCATGAGTCTCCAGGCGAGTTTCCTTCCAATAAGATATTCGACGGAGAGCTGAAGCATCTAGTGGGATTTAGAACGCACAGGCGAATGGATTCGTAGGAAGCCTCAAAAAGAATAAATCCACCAAGTTGATGATGCTGCACGCGTCTTACGGTAAGGTTATTGTTGCTTCCCAGTTGATCGTCGTCCACTCACAGCCGTTTCAAATAGGACTGGGAGCCTTCTGCTCGCCGCTGATCGCCACTCAGTTCTCTCAAACTCGTCACTGGTCCTTCCATTATATCATATCTTGCGGTATCGCGGTATCCAATACCACTGTTCTTTGTGCTGTATTCCGCCTGAAACGTCAAGAAGGTGAGATTTGATCCGTTCTTTCCATTCTGACATATCTTTTCTTGTTTCTCGTTCTTCCTTATCCATATCCACCTCCTCCGCTGTTCGGTAGACTGACTGTTGACACCTAGAGCTCCTCAAAGAAACAGGCCAAGAACCAAACGAAGAAAGACCATCCAACGGCGTAGCTCTGACTTCGAACAATCTGTATCGCCAGATATTCAACATCAATGCTGTTCACTACTTAGCACTTTTCGCGTTTATCTACGTAGGAGTTGAAGTGACTATTGGGGGCAAGTCATGTTGGTTGCTTCTTCACCTTCCATCCTGCTTAAATTGGACAATAGGATGGATCGTTACCTTCATCATTCGAGAACGAGATGGTGGTGCTAGCGCAGGATATATCTCTTCCGGATTTTTTGGCGGTGAGTGTTACTATGTCTCGTGGTTTGTGACTAAAATACATACTTTCCTCACAGGACTTACCCTCGGTCGTCTTGGCTTAATATATATAAACAAAAAAGTGAGTTTGCGTTTGGTATCATACCAGCTAATACCCAATATATCCTGTAATCCGTCAATCTGATCAGTACTACCAGGTCGGCGAACGGAGAGTAGTATTCATATATGTTCTACTCTCAATCGGGTAAGTCCTTCAATTTTGAAATGGTCAATGAAACAGGCAGTGATCCCAGCTCACAATCTTCCTAGGCTGGAAATCACTATCTGGTTCGTTCCGTCCATCATTGAAAACGCTGTTGCGGTAAACCCTTCCCCCAGAAGTTATGTTCCCCTAAAGACTAATTGAATTTACAGGTTTCTTTTATCGGAGCCATGCTTGGACCACTTTTCCCTATCCTAGTAGGCTACGGTGCGCGCGTACTCCCTCCATATCTCTTCACGGGAGGTATGGGCTGGATTACCGGTGTTGGGACTGCTGGGTCTGCAGCGTTACCTTTCATTACTGGTGTCCTGGCATCGAAATATGGGATCAAATCTTTGCAGCCTTTGTGAGTTAATAATTGATACCTATTGGGGACCATACATATGCATGTCGATACTTACTTCTTTTTACCGGTAGCTTGGTTGCGATGATGTGTACGCTCGTTGGGATCTGGGCAGTTGTTCCGAAAGGGCGTCGCATCGCTTCATAGTGATATTACTACTAGTGTCCCCCTGCGGGGACCTACACTTGGCTTGGTCACTTGCACTGGAGAGGCGAAGATGATCGCTGCATTCTCGGATTTCCGACATGATAGTCCATGTGCATGATCTTCCATGATTCACAGCTATAATCGCGCATCAATCTTTGTGCATTTGCCATTAGCCCGACTCAATTCAGAGTTTTCTTTTTCGAGTGAAATCTTTTGCTCATGCAAACCTGAGATGGTAGCTATAGCTACATATGAAGTTTATTAACCTTCACTATTAGGATACGGGTAATCTTGAGGGATTCTCGATCGGTGCCCATGCAAAGTGATAAATGATACCCCGATGTGCTGTTGAAGGTATGTAAATACTGAGTTGTATGCCAAAATACTTTTAAAAACTGGATGATTTACAATTGGTGTCTGTGCACATTGTGCGCTATTTCATCAGCCTGGCGACATCAGGTACTCTAATTGAGTTGAACTGATAGTAATAACACCAAATACGCGAGGAGGGAGGGGCTCGGTCTGGCTCGGTACTAACTGGTACTAATACGAGGAGAAGAAAAGGACCCGGGAGCTCCTACTAAACCCCATCCGAATTAGTGTACTTTGGCACCAAATTCTGCCATTTTCAACCTTGGACGAAATTAGCGTACTTTAGGCTCCTGTAGATTTTTTTCAGGTTTTTGATGGAATCCGTTGATCGGACGTGTCGCTTAGCTGACTGCTTAGCGCTCCAAGTAAGGTTTTGGAGAAATTGCATAATGATATAGGCCAAGGTTCAGTAGTGTAGAGGTTATCACCCGGGATTCTGATTACTTGACTTCCCGTAACCCAGGTTCGAGTCGTGGCTGGACCTAAGACAATTTTGTTCTGTGTTACTTACCACTTCTTGAGGGATCGTTGGGCCAGCTTGACTTATGAATATTGATGAACCTTCCTGAAGATCATCGATCATCATCTCAGGAGCTTGTGCTGTTTATATCAAAATCCTCGCATGTTACAGAAAAGGTATCATTAGTTTTCTCAACATATTTAACAATAACAAATCAGTTACACTTACTTGTATATATCTAGTACATGAGGCAGCATTGCGACTCTCATCCGGGACAACTTACCCTGCTGCCTTCACCAAGACCTCTCCAGCCCAGACTTACTGGTGGTCAATGTCAATGGTACACTGATCCGCAACATCTACATCCCTTCCAAGTTCTCACACACAAACTGGTGCAATTGGTCTGATGTCGACCCCTGGGATGCTTTCATAGAAAATACTCACGTTCTCATGCAACTCAACACCCCTTCCATTACAGCCAGTGACATTAATGCCTGAACTGGTGAATTATTACCTCACTCGGGACACCCGGATTGCGTATTGTCTGATCTTACCATGTCAACACAAGGCAGACTTCTCCTTAATCTCTGCAATGACCACCATCTCACGATTCTCAATAGCTGCACCTCGTTACCTGGTACCCACTCTTCCATGACATCCTTCCAACACCGTCACAATGCTCAAGGTCTCACCATTACCTTAACTTCTGTAATAGATTACTTTATAATTACCCCATTTCTCTTCCCTTTCGTATCCAAGCTTAACGTGAGCCCTGAATCAAAATGGTCCGACCACTCTCCCAGCACCCTCGAAATTATCTCTCCTGGGGTTTCTCCTACGCGGGTTCCCATCAGACCTCCTCCTCGCCAACCTGCAATTCACCTTCCATTACTCACCAATTCAGATTTCTTCCAGGACAGGATACTTCACTCCAAACCTCGCTCCCACTAGTCTCAACTGCTCATCTTGTATGGCCATGCCTCACAGTCTTTGCTTCCTTTGCCCCCCCCTCAAAATCTATACAGACCGCTCATGCTCCAATGTGGGCCAACCTAATGCCCATGCTGGGTCAGGTGTCTTCTTCGGTAATTCATCTCATTCACTAAACACCATTGTGCATGTCACGGGAAAACAAACTAACAACCGTGGCAAACTCTTGGCTGTCCTCATCGCAATCCAGAAATCTCACACGAGACGCTGTCTCAAAATATTCTTGGATTCCAAATACGCCGTTCACGCTATCGTCTACCATGCTCCTGTCAAGTCCATGCCTCGGTGCCCTACTCCGCCACTTGGTACTCCGAGATCCACCGTTTATTGTGATCTTGTTCTTATTGTTCTTTCTCACTACACATTCCCTTTCTACCTAGTCTCTCCTTATTGTCTTATTCTCTACCCTGCAGGTACTACACATATAGCTCCTAGTATTTAGTCTGGCGCTACACTCTGATGTGCCGATCTGTAGATATAAATACTCCTGTACTGTATTGTAGTTCCTCAGTTTAATTATCAACTTAGATTATCCTCTTAACGTCTTTGACTTGAGACTACCTCTGATCTCTTGTCTCTCTCTAGTCTTCAGGCTTGTCACCTTGAAGTACTCTCTACTCTATCCTCAGGACTTACAAGTCCTTTGGTCCGCTCCTCATTGTCAGTGATACCGCAGCTCTGACTTGGCTGCTTCTGGCTCCCTTCCTTCTTTACTCTCGATCTCCGGGGACTAGTGCATGTCCGTGGTCACTCAAACAATGCTCACAACGATGCTGCAGATAACCTGGCCAAGTTAGGGTCATCTCTCACACTTCTGTTAAGATCATGTACACCGTGTAACCGTGCCAGAGGCCACAAGGTGTCTAAGGGCGGAAGATCAAATGGGACAGTGGTGAAGTTATTAACAACACCGCCGTTACGCCGTTAGTCCCCGGAGATCGAGAGTATAGAAGAGAGGAGCCAGGAGCAGCCAATTTGGAGTGGCGGTAACGCCGACGACGAGGAGCGAACCAAAGAACTTATAAGTCCTAAGGTTAGAGTAGAACATACTTCAAGGCGATGAGCCTGAAGACTTAGAGAAGAGCTAAATTGGAAAGGGGATCTAAGTTGATAATTAAACTGAGGAACTACAGTAGCGTACAAGCAGTATTTATATCTACGGATTGGCGCATCGGTGCGGAGCGCTAGACTAACTACTAGGAGCTATACGTGTAGTACCTGTAGGGTAGAGTAAAAGACAATAAGGAGAGACTAGAATGAAAGGGTATGTGTAGCGAGAAAGAACAATAAGAATGAGATTACAATAAAAGGTGGATCTTCGGAATACTGGGTGGCGGAATGGGGTACCGAGGCATGGACTTGACAACTTCCCCGACCTCTCTCCTCCCTGGACTTCCTATCCTCCCCTGCCCCTCCCTCCTTTGAACCTACCACTCCCTCTGGCATCCCAAAGGTCTCCTCCTCCCTACCAGAACTGCCCCCTCAACCTGCTCCATGGCTAGCTCCTCCCCCTCCCCCTGTCTGCCCATCCTCACATCGAGGCTGTAGCCACAAATAGACACAACAACATGAAATTTGCTTGAAATTGTCCAATGCTGCCAGCACCGGGAGTGCGGCTTTTTGGTGATATTACAATGACATCCGCCACCCCCTGCGCCCATCTCCCAAAGTCTCCCTGCAACAAATTACTGATTCCTTCATCCCTTGCATGAACCCCCCGATGACATGCCTAAATTTTGGCTAGACATCTATGCAGTGAATTGTGACACTTTCACACATAGATTTGTATCAAGAAGACTGTAATTGAGACTGACAAGACCATGCCTACAGGTCAATAACTATAGAGGTTCTGAGGTCGGATATGGGCCGGATATGGCCCGGGATAACTCTGAGGTCCAGAGCTGAGTATTGGCCTGTAGTATACACTGGGAGTGGGACGTCGGTGAAGCTATTAGCAACACCCTTCACACACTGTTGGTGTCCCCGGGAATTATGGCAAGAGTGCAAGATTGGTATGAGCAGCCTAAATGGGGTTCCTGATGATCTGGGAGTCCGGAAGCAAAGGGTAAAGAAGATATTAAAGACTGGGATAAGATGGTACACTTGATTTCAAGCTTGACTACAACGTACAAAGTATTCTAGCTTATATACATCCCAAATACAGTCAGAAGACCTCGATGAAAGCTCGAAACAATAAATAAATACAATGATGGTCACAAGGTTATTATTCCGAAGTCCGGCCGCTCCGGGCCGGGCCGGGAAGCATATTGAGTGAATTGCATGCATATGACAGAGACCCAGATTGACAGTCAAAGTCAATACTGAATCAGTCTAATAAGTTGAAGGGACCATATACCCATACTACCACAAGTCGGTTAGTTTACCCATCCCTGATACTACCTTCGGATAAAAGTCTACCTGTTTGTCAAGCAGGATTATACCAGACTCGGACTACACCTGAAGGATGACCATTCACGTATGACATACCAAGGGTATTCTTATTGGACCTTACACTGGCAGGAGTTTGGAAGAACTTACTCAAGTGACCATGAGCCAAGGATTGACTCAAAATGACTTTCTAGAACTCAGGAATTGTCAAATACTCCTTCTAGAACGAGATCATGCATTAATCTAAAAGACTGTGATTTAGTCTAATAGACCAATCAGGTTGCATGGTTGAGGAAAATGACTAGAAGAACGATCGAAGTACTGCGAGGCTCCGAAGACATATCAAATGAATGTCAAAGAGTCCTGACATAGAAAATATTGAAGAACACAATTTAAGGAATACTATGCATAACTCCCTTGATAGAGTATAGGCACAATGTGTCTATTGAAAGAGAGAAGCAATTAGTTTAATCCAGATAAATTAGATTGATAGGATTAGAATCAAGGAGAGCTGATTTGCCTCCGGACGAGGTGACAAACGATCGAAATAAGTGTTGAACAGCAATGACAGCTGGACACCATTCGAGTCATTCTCAAAAGCAATTAAATTAAATGAATATTGAAGTACCTACCTATGTTTGGAGGTATACTAGAATCTTGGAACCATTATGGACCAAATAAGGACATGAAGATTCAAATTAAATGGTATCTGACCGATTGTAGAAGTTTCCTTGCGGTTCCAAACATTTATTTTATCAAATTAATTGTACTGTGCGACTCTATATCCTGTATGTATAAATAGCGATCCAATGTATCTAGAATACAAGGGATTTTGGGACGACGTTGCAGTGCTAATTCATAACAAGGAAAGACACACTCCCGCCAGACTGAAACCTCTTCGCTAGCAGCCATTTGGGCCTGGCACTTGTGAGTATAGGAACATCGTATTCTGCTCCTTGTGACTGCAAGAAGTTATATCCAGTTGTTGGGTATTCTTCAAATTTAGGATCAGTTGTTAGTCTTAAGGGCAAATCACGCTGTGTGGTTGTGCCAGCACATAATTCTAGCCCTCTGTAGGGGTCTGTGTGTTTCGGTTTTAATTTACTTTGATTCAAACCCCCAAATTTTGATATACCCATATCAATACTGTTAAGATCGTGTACACCGTGTAACCGTGCCAAAGCCACAAGGTGTCAAGTCCATGCCGCGGGCCTCCATTCCGCCGCTCGGTAGTCCGAAGATCTGCCCCTTATTGTAATCTCACTCCTATTGTTCTTTCTCGCTACACATATCCTTTCGTTCTAGTCTCTCATTATTGTCTTTTACTCTTTCGTTCTAGTCTCTCCTTATTGTCTTTTACTCTACCCTGCAGGTACTACTCGTATAGCTCCTAGTAGTTAGTCTGGCGCTCCGCACCGATGCGCCGTTCCGTAGATATAAATACTGCCTGTATGCTACTGTAGTTCCTCAGTTTAATTATCGACTTAGATCAACTTAGATCTCCCTTCTCAACTTGACTCTTCTCTAAGTCTTCAGGCTCAACGCCTTGAAGTACGTTCTCCTCGACCTTAGGACTTTAACGTCCTCTGGTTCGCTCCTCGTCATCGGCGATACCGCCGCTCCGACCTGGCTGCTACTTAGCTCCTCTCTCTCTACTATCGCTCTCCGGGGACTAACGACGTAACGGCGGTGTTGTTAATAACTTCACTACTGTCCCATTCGTCTTCCGCACTTAGACACCCTGTAGCCTTGGCACGGTTACGCGGTGTACATGATCTTAACACAAGGTGTCTAAGTGCGGAAGACGAGTGGGACAGTAGTGAAGTTATTAACGACACCGCCGTTACGCCGTTAGTCCCCGGAGATTGAGAGTGTAGAGGGAGGAGCTAAGTAGCAGCCAAGTCGGAGCGGTGGTAGCGCCGGTGACGAGGAGCGAACCAGAGGATGTCTAAGTCCTAAGGTTATAGTAGAGAGTACTTCAAGGCGATGAGCCTGAAGACTTAGAGAAGAGCTAAGTTGAGAAGGGAGATCTAAGTTGATAATTAAACTGAGGAACTACAGTAGCGTACAGGCAGTATTTATATCTACGGAGCGGCGCATCGGTGCGGAGCGCTAGACTAACTACTAGGAGCTATACAAGTAGTACCTTCAGGGTAAAGTAAAAGACAATAAGGAGAGACTAGAACGTAAGGGTATGTGTAGCGAGAAAGAACAATAAGGAAAGATTACAATAAAGGTGGATCTTCGGAATACCGAGCGGCGGAGTGGAGGACCGAGGCATGGGCTTGACAAATACAATCAAAGCACAAATCGTGCTGAATCTACCTTGATCAAAGGAATATACCGAATCCTTAGAATGATTCAAATTGATTGATCGAAGCTTTTCCTAGCTCTCAAAGCTTTGCAGAACCTTTGACAATGCTACCCCTTGCTATTAAATAAATTTGATAGCAGCGAACTCGCATATTGTGTATTAGATTGGTTGGTTGGAGTGCCCATTTGATTCCTTCCTTTCTCTTTCACACAAAAACGAGGCAAGCTCGTTACTGACCCCTCCGCATCATCCTTTGACCCTGCCCATATTGCTGCCGAGGACACTCATGCGCACGCTATTCCACTCCCCTCTCCACCTGCAACTCATCCTGCCTTCAACGATCCTCTATCCCTCAATGATATTTCCTCAATTAAGTCATACTTCAAACATACCACCCACTCGAACTCCACAGGTGTCAATGCTGCCACCTATGACCTCCTCATTGACATTGACAACAATCTCCTCCTCCCTCTTTTCCAATGCGCTGTCGAACAACGCAAAATTCCCTCATCATTGCCATTGCTAAACCCGGTAAAGATTTGACTAAAACCTGCAACTACCATGCCATTGCCCTCGAGAGCTGTGTCCTCAAATTTGCCTCTCTTCTTGTACATCACAAACTCTGCCTAGCCTTAGAGCAGTCCAACACCATCCCACCTTCTCAGAATGGCTTTCAGGAAGGCTACTGCACAAACAACAACACATTCATCCTCTGTACCATCATTGACAAAGCTTGGGCACGAGGGGAAACCATTTACTTAGTGTTTGTCGATATTTCCAATGCCTTTCCCTCTACCAACCAGAGTTCCCTATGGAACAAACTCTCTGATGCGGGTCTCACTGGCAAGTACTTTGACTGGCTTTGATCACTTCACAACCAAATGACCTACATCATTGCCCACAATGGCCAACTGTCCCATGAATTCCATGCGTTCAGTGGAGTCCTCATGGGTGACCCTTCCTCTCCCACCCTCTGGAATATATTCCTCTCCACCTTTAACCTATCCTTTGACCCCGAGGATGTTGAGCTTCGGATGGTAGTTATCTCACATCTCGAACATGCAGACAACATTGTACTCATCTCTCAAGGTCATGCTGGCCTGCAACGCCATCTCCGAACATTCGAGATCTGGTGCCAAAATAACTCTCTTCTTGTCAGCCCCGGAAAGTCATGGGTAATGCTCTTCGGTCACCTTCCTTTGGTCCTTCCTCAACTCACACTTTCCAATAAACCCCTTAAATTCTGTGATGTAAGCCGATACATTGGCATCTTCTTTCAATCCACCCACCATAACATGGTCGCTCCCCACTACACTGAAAAGCGCGATGCCGCCGTTGGGACTGCACATGCAATCACTGGCTGCAATCTGCCTGTTGGAAATTAATGCATGCCTCCCTCCATCACTAAACAACTATACACTGTGCTCGTGGACTGCCACCTCACCAACAGTTGTGAGATCATACCCGATACGGACCCTGGTCTTATCCAGATATGCTTTCTACATTGTATGCTCAACCTCTCCAACAACTCTGTCATCACACCATTATTCACCAAATCGGGCATCATGCCTATTCGCACCCGCCGCGCATCACTCGCACTCCGATACCTCAAATACCTCATCACTCTCCCTCCCTCTCACTATGCGTTCTCGGCCCTCTAGGAGAATGACAACCTTTGCCGTGCTGGCTCTCCATGCTGGCTCTTGGACTTGGACTTCACCATCTCCCAACTCCCGGGCCACCACCGCCTGCCTCACCTTCAGGATCTCAACAGTGACTGTATTGACACTCATCAAAACCATTGAGTTCTCCACAAAAGCTGAACTACAATCCCATATTGACACCTGGTCAAAACTCTCTTTACTCAGAAATCGCCTGAGACCGAAGGAAGAGGGTCCAGCAAAACAAAAAATCATTGGACTTCGGCATTATCTCACTCAAATCAAGAACCACACTCATCGTTGCACTGTCACCAAACTCCTCTGTGGTGACCTCACCCCCCAAGTATTCCGAGCCTCTGCCTCACCCCAACTGAGGTTCTCAATCGAGCCTGTTGTGCATGTAATCTGCAGGGACAGACTCCACAACACCTTCTGTTTCAATGCCCGTCTCTTACCTCTATCACTTCTCTCCGATCCGAGTTCTTCTTGTCCATTTGACAGTCTCAGCCTCTCCCACGCAGCCCAAACCTTTCGGATTCCACTGCGCTACACTATCTCAGGTTATTAGTTTTCAACTGGAACCTAATCGTCCCCACCGCTAAGTTCATCCATGAGGTCGTGACTCTCTGGCAACTCTTTTTAGATACTGGTTTAGATGGCCCCTTGGAACATGTTGAAAGTGATCATGAGTCGGAAGAGGAGTGATTTGCATCTGTTCTGTTCTGTTCTGTTCATATATGTATACAACAACTACCCTGTACTATATTCCCTTCATTCTGGCTGCAGTCTACCATCCCAGGTTGGATGAGCATTTGCTGCAGCGAAGATTGCTGGGCCCGGCTGTTCCCTTGTGGGACCCCGTCGACTCAATGGAGCCGCGTATCTATCTATCTATCCATCTATCCAATTCTCCATTCCCCCCCCCCCCCCTTGGAGTATGGCTGAGGGACCAGATCGAGCACTCACCCAGACCCTAAATAGCTAGTCAGAGGAAACACAGTATACATTTCCACTTCCATGATACATCATTATTGAATCGATGTTTGTTACATGGGATTTGTGGCATGTAGTCGGGCCTCCCATTTGTTCACGGTCTATGTTCGAACAAAGGAAATGATGATTTCCTGCCGATTCATGAAGAAAGGGCCGGATCTGAAAGGTAAAAATTCTACGTGGAGGTCCTTGCCGCGTTTCTGAGCAGACGTCAGCCTTGGTCAATAATTTGAATGATGTTAGTTCTCGTACCTCTGTGATGAATTAAGCCATCCTGACAGCGTCCAAGTAGAACGGGATCCCTACCTGAAAGTGACCACTGACTCCTCACTCTGTAGACAAATGTGTACGTATGATCACTCATATAATCTCGAACTTTAAGTAGGCTGACCTTGGTGTACACACGCATGTTTTGGTTCGCGCAATTGCAGCGCTATTGAACGAATATGAGATGAACGAGGTCATTGGCCTGGCGACACGTTATGCAGAAGTCGAAAAATGACATAGGATACAAAGCGTCGGTATGATACAACCCAGGGAAGAGGCATTTGCAAAAATGAAGTTGGTGAAAACAGGTGATACTGAGCGTGGGGAGTATCGCCTATAGTACTCGGGGATTGCTTGTATAGGCTTTTATACACTTGAAAGCAAGCTCTGCGGATAGAGTTAAGAGGAAAATGTGAAATACATGATGTTCGGGAGCGTTACAAATAGTGACAGAAAAATGGAAAGGCTTTTTATCATTCTGAATGCATCTGCGGCTTCACCCAAAGTTCTTCCTTGCTAGTCCTTGCTTAGCCTCGATCCTTCCCTTGAAACGATGGGCTGCAAGAGTACTCTCGCTGCGAAATAATTCATCTTGACCATTTTGGCAATGGCGATTCATGTATACCCATGTATACCGGGCAATGAGGCCTTGAGGACATGTACAAAATCGACAAAGAGAAAGAAAAAAACCCGGTCCGAATTTACCGGTGACCTCGGATTGACCCCACCGCTCAACATGGGCGCGCAATACGCAAAGACTTCCAAGAATACCTTTCGTAACATGGTATACAGTGATTGCGCATCACTTAAACTTCTTTTCTGATTGATTCTATCAGGCTTTGGGCTTTACAGGAGCAATGTTCGTCGCTGCGTTCGCGTTGTACGCTTCGAAGAAACATGTTGACGGGCGGAGGAAAGCAGATCTGGAGAGCTACGAAGCAGGCGAATCTCCAAATTTCTAATGAAAGGTGGATCTCCGCATTAACTAGAACTTGCAGAACTCGCTCGTAGGCCTCAAAATAGTTCAAAATCAAATACTACCTCGAAAGCTTGACTTTTCAGCTTCGACAGTGTCATCAACTCACACAGCGTAACAGAACTACTGCCCTCTTGTGATTCAATCATATCCATTCAAGGACAGCTCCGGCGCATAACGTTTCATTCGCGTTTTTGCTTTGGTTCTGGGTCTCTCTCAGCCACAACCACATCAGCTCCGTAGCTCGAAAATCACTTCGTCTGCTTTTAAATCGCGGAACAGGCTGCAACAGGGAATGCCTGTGACCCTGGTATCATCACAAATTTTTGAATACGGGGTTTGATCTGCTGAGTGGCAAAACTACTGGAGAGGAGAGCGACGACATGGAGAGATTATCCAGGGCTTCATGTTCAGAGAAAAACGTTGCACATTCTTCTTCGTCGTCCATCTCCATACGTCTATTATCACCGGCCGAAGACAGCATTCAAGCAGCCTCCAAACCCACTCTACTTTGCCCTACCATCTAGCACGGGAAACATTATATGGCTTGTTTTCTCGGCTTGAGGATATATCCCTCAAACCACAGCCATTGAATCCTCGACTGCTCTAACCATGTCTTCCTTCTCGCATAGACTCACAACCAAGCTTATGGTGTCGGTCAAGCCCTTACACACGAATTGAATCAGCATCGCGTACGGAGACCCCTCCATTCCAAACTCTATTTTTCGTATCGTGCTAACTTACAACTACATCACTGTCTATGAAGTCAGTTACCATTCAAATGAGCACAGAGACTTAAATTCTTCAAGCTTTGGCTGATTGTTTCACTTTCAAGTGAGATACCCAAATCTTCTGCAATGAGTAGAAAGGCCTTTTCTCTGAAGACCTCTGTTAATGCGGAGCTCCCATCTTCCAATCGTAGTATACACATACCCAATGACAAGTGCGGTATTATTGGTGTTCGCTCCGACATTTAGTGGAGCAATGCTCATGTCTGCGAACAATGAGCAATGGAATCTCAAGAATCAATCAGCAGAATGACCTACCCGCTATTTTCAGATTCTCCACTCCGTACACGTTGAGCCGAGAATCGACAACTCCGCCGGCTTCGCGAGGTTTCATTGCGCATGTACCAAGCTGAGTACAAGAGAAGATGATGAGCAAAGATCGGGAGTAGGATGGATTTTCACCCACCGAATGCCAAGTCGTACCCACTAATGAGGGCAGACGAAAAGTATTTAGTAGATAGAAAATAAAAGATCCACATCCCTCTCACCGATGGCTCTAATGTAATCATCTATGGCTCTATCATCTTCCTTCGAATAAACAATTTTCGGGGAATCAATGGCAAATGGACCAGAGGCAGAAGGGATTATGGATGCTGTGCTTTTGGTAGGTACAACGTACGAAGTACCATTGCAGGACATAGTGCACGGGGTACCATTGTTGACGCCGGAAACTGAAGAATTAGAACAAAACTTGGGATGCCTAGCAGGAATTTCTCCTCTGAATGACTTCATCCGGCGAGCAAGTTCACGAGCATGCTTGTAGCACCATCGAAGGACCGAGAGATCTGCAGGACTAAGAACAGAAAGATTTCGGTCGGACAGGCCAAGGAAGTAAATATCCAGCAAGATATCATACGCACTCTTCTAGGAATTTGGGATCGAACCTTAAAGGAGCCCAAGGATTTGTAGGAGAAGAAATATGGGTGTAGCCTGTAGCCCGAGGGTACGCCTTCAAATAAACTGGGTTTTTATTGTGATCAGATGAATGGCTATAGAAAACCGACCATAAAAAAGATTATTCCAAATGTCTTCAACCCCGATGGAGCAGAATTTTGGACATCCCTGCATAGTATAATAATCAATACTTGTTTTCCAAATTGAACGAGAGAAATGTTCTAACCCCGCAGTTGGAACTAAGCATGCGACTGGCTTATCCGGGGCCCCAACATAAAACTCCTCCCATATCTGTCTGAAAGAGGGCCCAAGCTCTTCAAGTTCTTCTTGCGTAGGCCGTAACTTGACCCCCGCATCTACGGAACTTGAAGCAACAGACAGCATTCAACATTATGATTGTTATCAAAACAAAATTCAGCTCACTTGTGTGCCAAAAGCCCTGAGCCTTCCTCTTGCCATTCCTTGAGGTGGGCTTTGATGGTGGATTGTCAGTCAGCGGTGGTCAACATTGCCTAACACAAGTTTTACGTTTGATAGCTTCTTCATCTCCATTGAATATATCGTCTAGACAGTCGGAGTCTTCTGAGGCGAGATAGGGGGTAACACAGAGGGTATGATCTATGCAAATATCACATAGGTTCTGCGACACGATCGAAATGAGGAGTTACCGTTATAATTCTCTCCTACACCTGGGAGATCAACTATCTGACGAATATCCGCGTCTGCTAGATAACGTGCAGACCCGATTCCAGAACTGCATAGAGGCCGCGAACCAAATATGAACAGAAAATAGGAAGGCAGCAGAAAAAACCGAGTGAGTAAATTATACATATGTTTGTGTAATGTGTTTCAGCTCACCGTTCCAAAATTGCGGGCGACCCGAAAGCTCCACTAGAAAGTACAACTAGGCGGGAAGCATATGCGATTCGAGGCGGCAATCGAGACTCTACATTCAAATCCTCACGAGCAACATACTCAACACCGATTGCACGATTATCTCTGGAAACAAAAGGCATTCACTTGAACAAGTGGAATTGAAATGCTAATGGAAACTTGATATACTTGAAGATCACTTTGACCACTCGCCGGTTGGTCAGGACATGCAAGTTATTGCCTTCGTTGGGGTCCAAGCTAAAGTTTGGAAGATTATACAGAAAATGATGTGCAACGTCGGAACGTTTTCCAGTATCTGAGTCAATATATCTAGCACGAAGTGGTTCAGTTGATCAGAAAATGGAATACATTAACACATACTTGTGCCAAGGCTGAGAAGGGGCAATCTTTGTCAATGAGGTGAACAGTAGGAAGCGAACAGACACACCCCATATACATTCGTTGTTTGAAAATCGTTGATATCAGCGGAGGGTGAACTTTTTCTGTCTTTATCATATTGCGCCGCAGTTAAGAACTCTTTGCCAATGTTGGTGTCGTGTCCTCCATGAGAGACTTTAATGGGTCCCGTGGACCCGTGCGCTGACGGGCTGTCAGAGGGAACTTGGTAGGTTTCAACCTGATTGAAGGTGATCAGAAAGATGTGCAGCTGCTAATCATTCAAACACTTACTTTTCTGGCCAAAGGGATAAGTGAATTTGACCCCCAACCAGAATTACCTAGTTTTTCCCAGTCGTCGTAATCAGATGCAGCAGCACGGGTATAAATCATGACTAGGGTTTGTTAAATGATGAGGAAGATTGACTTGTGACACCACTACTCACAATTCACAGCAGACCCACCACCCACGCAGCATCCAGAGGGAACGGAAACGGATCTTCCACCAAGTGCTTCACTGTGAACACTGTTGTGGAGTGTAACAGTATGACCTTGAACAAGGCTGTTGAGGTATCTAGCGGGCTGAACGTGATTGTGCAGGTTGAAACTATGCGGGCCTGCTTCTATAACCTGAACACAATTGGAGCGAGAGTCGACATCCAGGGAACTCGGAGATATACCAAAATCTTCAACGATGAATCAGCTTGAACAAGACGACCAGCGATGATACAGGCGGCAGTACCACCTGTACAGGGAGATATGAGTAACATCGCTCGTTAAAAAATTCATGTTGAAGGATTGCGAACCACCAGCGAAAACAATATCGTATGTATCGAAGAGAGGCATGAGATTTTATGATATGCAGTCTTCAGGTGAGAGAGGCGCTTTATACCATTCATGACTAGCTAATACCTGCTTTGGCTTTACTGCATAACTCTCGAAGTGGAGCCTCACGTACCTCAACTGAGTTTGTCCTCTGTGGCACCAGGTGATTATCTCCTGGTCATATCAGTGACGGGAACATATCGAGCTAGTCGGGGCTATACGGGAGCAATGGATCGAGGTCAGTGCTTCCCGAGTGAAGATAAGACGTCTGGAACGCTCAACATGTACTTGAATTTTCAACAAGAGCAGGTCAACTACTTACTAACGGTTTCTACGAGCATTAGGAACCCCCTATGCCCAAGGGGCAGTTAGATTCTGAATTAGAGAAGGTGCTTCCGAAGTCGCCCAAGGAGATATTTTGAGTAGGTAAATCGTGATAGCCAGTGATATAGCATGGACACTCATTGGAAAAATCAGATAATTACGCGGCGCCAGTAGGGCGCAACCTGGAGGATGGTGGCAGAACGACGATGATTCGTCGGCATGCTCATTCTGGTTGAAGCTGTTTCGAAAGATAGACTGCCGAGATCATGTTGTCCCACACTATACTGTATAGCGAGCGGTTGGTAAAGCATATCTGTAGTTTCAGGCCTCAAAAAACAACGGCATCTGTGAGCGGGACATCGACATAGGGGATCTACCCGGGAACGTGCGGAATGAAGGTAGTAAGGTGGACAGCATACCAGAAAGCGGGAGCGCTGAAATAAGATGTCGAAAAGTTCTGAGTTGAGTGAGTAATACTGAAGGCCTTTTCAGGACAAGCCCCCGTCATAGTTAATAACCTTACTCGAGGCTTGAGCCATATCATTACATTCCAATGCCAATATATCCCGGGCTCAACTTCACAGCTGCCGGTACTATGGTATGTCAAAGTCGTGGGTTTGGACAACTTTATCAGAGCCTCGGCGTAAGAATACATAAGAACAGCATAACCGGTTTTTGTAAGACGGCAAGGAAGAGTTGGACTAAGAGGAACACAACTTCATACTTCACAGTGCTTGCTATTTACCCTTAGACCTTGCGAGGGGTCCCGAAAACATTTACTAAGGTTCTAGAAAATGAGCAAGAGTCAGGGAATAAGCAAGTCTGACTTACCATTGGGGATATATTTTGAGCTAGTAATCATCGACATAAATATAGGGAGGTACAGTCCTTAAGCACCGAGGTTTTGGGTCGTCTTCACGCCAAACTGGCAGCGAAACGTCTCCTACGCTAAAAGGGAAATTTGGGATGTGACACAGTTCCTAGAATATAGAGATAGAACATAAATTCGTCAAAGTCGAGCGAGCTTTCATATTCACCTGTTCACCGCATGCAGGCTTGCACCTAATCCAAACGTTCCAGTCAAGCCATTGTATCAAATTTCCTAGCTCGAGTTTCCAGGCATCCAAAACTGCATTCCGTACAAGAGGATGTGCGGATGACGTTGGAGAGTCAAAAAGGGAACTTAACCCCTCATGGACGCCCATGGCCCACATCTTAGTCAAAGCTCGGCATAGTTCGCGCGTCGTTCCTTCCACCGCATTACGTAGAAGAGCTTCCGACTTTGTACGTGACGTGGTTGAGATGGACGAAGTGTGGGACAATGCACATTCTTTGTAAACGGGAGAAGCCCAAGCAAAATCGGAAGCGTTCCCGACAGGAGACAGAGTACAGGATGGATCGCTGAACAGTGTACTCAATCAGTCGGAAAGCTGTCTTCACTTGCGTATCCTGATTGTTTGGTTGAACATCGGACTGGGGCCAGGTAGAGTTAATGATGACCCAGATGTCTTCGAGGGGTTTTCCGTACAGGCTGATGATGGAATGTAGGTAAGCAGGCCAGTCGATACCGTGTTCGACGGCCTCAAGCTGCAAAGAAGACCACGGTGTTTCTGCGATTTGTTCCTCCAAGTACTTCCTCACCCGCACAATATCATCCTCATCGATACCGAGCAAACGATGGGCCAATCTAGGTTTACCAGAACGAACAGCAATCAACGACGGAGCTAGTGTTGTGTCGTAGAACGACACAAAATGCGTCAGGTCGAGCTGAACATGACTTAAGCCAGGATAATAGTCGAAAGGACCCAGGAGTTTTAGTGTTTGAATTGCGTCAAAGGTCGTTATGGGCACTGTATATGATGGTATCTTCATAGGTCCCGAGGGCGCTGGCATGTATGTTGAAGTCGGCGGCGTTGATTTCAAATGCTGAGAAGAGACGAGCTTCACCGATCCAAAGTTGCAGAGCATTATCTCGCTGAAAAACGTTCAGGCTGAGAATATTCATACTCTAGGATCTCTAGTATCCTGCTCACTAAATTACGCCAGTCCTGAGAATACAAATTAGAGCCGTAATCATATACTTACCCGTTGGCAAACTTACCTGATAAACCCATCCAATCCCAATTTCGACGCCCACTCGCACATTTTGTGAATCCTTGATCCTTCGTCCAGGGCCATGTCGGGCTTGATTTCGCCCCAAGCGAAGATATCCTGACTATCCATTGAGCCCTGGGGGAATGCCGCTAGCGCTGTACCAGATCCATCAAAGTAAAGCACCCGAAGAGGACGGCCAACCACAAAGTTATGAAGCCAACAGTTTTCAGCTCCACCGAATATTCGACAGAAAGTGTAAGACGATTCAGGCTCAAATGCGACCCAGTCCATGGTAGGGATGTCCGAATCTCCTCGACCGTGATAAAGCATGGTCCCGGATTGAACGATCCCGGGAATGATGGTGTGCCCTGTACAGTTTAAGTCGGAAAAATACAAGAACTAGCACGTATAATACTAACCGTTTCGATACCGTGAATTAGGGATGGATTGTAGTAGAGAACTGGCAGTCGAGAACACGAGGTTTGCGGTAGAGTTATCGGCAGATGGTTTGTTCACGTCCCAGTATTCATGGTCATTCGACCAGTCTTGTAATTCAGAATGAGCAGAATGCAAGGATTGAGAAACACTCGAAAGCGGTTTTTGCTCCACAGTCGACGAGTGTTCTACTAAGCTAAGAAAGATGAGGGCGAAAGCAGTCAGCCACGTAGCCATGGTCATGACAGTAAAGGGAAGCGAGCAAGCACCTTTGAGTTAGATTATATAGAGGTAACGAAACTTTAAAAGAATTCTAGTCGAAATTCTCAGAGCGCTTGTCGCTGGTCACAGTGAGCGCTCATGATCATAGATAGACCTTCATGGACGTTCAACGGCGTTTTCTAGTCCAAAATCAAATCTGATAAGGCAACGTTTTCTCCGCCGCTCGCTGGCCAATTCGTCCAAGCTAATTTTGATGGTGATCAGGTCGACCTCGCATTCGTTACCTCTATTGGTCTGGGCTGTTCAAATTATACAGCGTCTCGATAACGTTGACGGATACTAAGCTTGATTTTTGGCTGGAAAGGTGACTGAATGTGGTGCTGCATAGTGACCAGTCACTGAGTCAGGTGGTAAAGATAGTCGGAATGATCCCCGACTCCGCAACTTCCCGCAAACGTTCAGTATATTTTGGTAAGAAATCAAGGTGCTCTTGCAAGAGAACCGGCCTCAGCCCACCGTCCGAATGCGCACGCGCCGTTATGGTTGGCTTCATGCATGTGTCCTATTGTCTATTGCCATGGGCTACAGCGTATTGCCTGCAATTGTTCATGTGAACCGTCTTTATTCATACGGCAATTTCAGCTGAGCATTTGAGGCTATAAATACTTCCTTTCCCAAAAGCAACGTTTGACATGGATTGCACGACAGAAGAGATCGCAAAGCACGACGATGCAAGGTCAGTCTATGTCAGTCTATGTACCTTGATGATCTACTCATCTTTCTTCCCAAATGTCTAGTTCTTGCTGGATAATCATTAAGAATGAAGTTTACGATGTAACTGAATTCCTGTCGGTGCGTTCCGTCTCTTATCTCTTCGCTTGTACTTGACGATTTCTTACACTCCCGGAATGCAGATACACCCTGGAGGCCCTAGTATCATTCTGAAATACGCTGGAGGTGACGCAACTTCTGCATATGACCCAATACACCCACCAGATACGATCCAAAAGAATCTTTCACCCTCTCAGTGCCTTGGGCCGCTGATCACGACTACAAATACTACTGATAGAAAGGATCGCGTCCCCGTAGAACGAACACAAGATGAGATGAGGGTTGAACGAGAAATGAAACGAAGACCACCCTTGAACCGCGTACTGAACTTGGCTAATATCGAGGTACGCAATAGCACCTCTTCGAACTCATTGTTCATCCTTAGTTATTGATTCATGATTGTCGGTTTGTCAGGATATCGCAAAAAGAGTGCTTCCGTATCCTGTTCAAGCTTTCTATTCAGCAGGGACTGACGACGAATTTTGTGAGTACCTTTTGGCATTGGCACCGGGAGCTTATAACTCTCTCTTCTTCATTCACAGCACTTCGAGAGAATGCCAGGGCGTTTGATAGGTTTTTCTTTCATGCCCGGGTGATGCGACCAGTCTCAAGTTGCGATCCCTCTACAAAGATATTGGGATACGATTCTTCTCTCCCTGTGTTCGTTTCGGGGGCTGCTCAGGCGATTCTTGGTCACCCAGAAGGTTCTTGATCACTCGCGGCAGTCTATTCCATCACCGATCTTACTGGTACATTACAGGTGAACTCAACATAACACGAGCGTGCGGAAACGCCAGCATCATTCAAATGGTCTGCACTTTCGCTTCTATCCCTCGAGCACAGATAACTGCCGCAATGCTTCCCTCCCAAACCCTCTTTTTCCAACTTTACAAAATGACCGACACGGCTGCAACTGCCAAGGTAGTACGAGAAGCTGAGGAATTGGGGTATAAAGCGATTTTTCTCACTGTGGATGCGGTGGTCGTTGGTAATCGAGAGAAGGATGTAAGGAGCCTGTGGGTCATGGAGGAACAGGAAGGAAAAACTCAATATTACGTTGAAGGAGATCCAGAAGCAACGACAAATCTTTCCGGGTCCAGTGCTGTTAATCGCAGGAATGTGTTCGACCCAGACCTGAGCTGGAAGGAGACTATACCCTGGCTACGTAGCATTACCAAACTCCCTATTGTCTTGAAAGGCTCGTTTCTAAATGTATCGTAGTCGTAACTTTTACTGATGCTCATTGGCTAGGTATCCAATGCGTAGAGGTATGTTGCGTGTTAACCTCACCTATTCGCAGCTTACAAATCCCTCTAGGATGCAGTCTTAGCTGCTGAGGCAGGAGTTGAAGGTATCCTGCTGTCAAATCACGGAGGTATGGATTGGTCAAACACATTCTGTACATTCTGACTCCTAGCTAGGTCGGCAATTAGAATCGTACGTCTGATTGGCTTCGGAGCCACAACTGTGCGACATCTCAATAGTCCGCAATGTATTCCATAGCTCCCTGCCTCCCCTCGAGGTTTTGTACAGAATTCGTCAGCAGCGACCTGACGTCTTTGATAAACTCGAAGGTCAGTGTTTCCCATGTCACAGAATATTTTGGTTCTGATCCGTCGGGGTAGTATATATCGATGGTACGGTCTTCTGCAGGTCTTCTGTATACTTACGGGAGTAAGCTCACCTAAATGATTGTCACAAGGTGGGATACGACGAGGAACAGGTGAAAATCTTCGTCGCCCGTTTTTTTCCTGCTCATGTACCTTTCTTGAACTTAGATGTGATCAAGGCTATTTGCTTAGGAGCAACAGCTGTCGGACTGGGACGACCATTCCTCTACGCTCTAAGTGTATGCTCCCAGATTCGTGGAATATTCTATGGGCTTAAGTCAAATAATGTCCGCTTTTTCTTAGGCATACGGTGAAGCCGGTGTAATCAAACAGCTAGACATTCTCCGCCGCGAAATCACAATATCTATGCGACTTCTGGGGGCTGCTAGCATTCGCGATTTGACTCCGGAGGTGGTGAGCGTTGGAAATTCCGGTTTGAGCTTCCGCATATTGTCTCTTACGTTTATTTCACAGGTGGAACGGGTGGATTGGGAACCCGTTCGAAGACGAATTGGCAAGCTATAACGAAACTTTACAAGTAGATTGTTACAGAAGAGTTTGGACCGTTTGACTCAAAGCGCGGACCGATGGTTCAAAATAATTGACCGTAATCGTGAATGCACGAACACCTACCTAGAAATTGAGTTAGCGTTCAGGATATCATCATAAGTACCTGAGTTATTGTATATTAAACACCATGCGCAATTTCACGGATATATATGTATGAACTGTACTACTACTATAGCTTATGAACGAGTCCGTGGCATGTAGGATAAACATGGCTGACCAGAATGGCATGCGTTCAAAGGCGATCTACACTTTCTTCGTGTATACATGTCCGCTTCCATCTCCTTTTCCTCTTTGTGGCGCAGGTTGATGGATGTGGTGAGAGTGAGAAACGCCGTCGGGCGAGGTGCTCCATCCGGGAGTGCGAGCGTGATGCTGGGCTTCGTGCGTGTAAACAGGAAGCTTGACTGCCCTCGTAATCGAGGAATCAGATTCATGCAGGTGATATTCGCCAGGGCGTTTGGAGATTGTGTGCTCATCTGGGGAACAAAGTTATACAGGAAAGTATGAACGCACGGTGAACTCACATTGGGGCATATTGCCACTCTGCCTTCTTTTGTCGTCGCGAACTTTCATACTGAAAAAGAATCCGGCAAAGCCAGAAACCAAGAAGGCCATGGCGATTGCAGTATTCTAAAGGCGAGTATAGTTAGCCTAATGTTGGTGGTATAGACAGCGCATTGATGATACACACCCGACCAGTTCTAGGATGCAGTTTCGAAGGTCCTGAGCTGCCAGTGGTATTTCCGCGAACAGGAGATGTTGCAGACATTGTTCGTGGATAGCTGCAATAAGGTTGAGGGATGGTGGTTGACTCTTCCCCAATTTGGGCGGTTTTTATATGGCATCAGAGTGTCTCAGACCGTATGGCTATTACCTTCTCGGAATCGAAAGTCGACTTTCATAATTTTGATTCCGATGAGGAAGATAGAAATTTTTGACGAGCTATCACTGTGAATGTACGAAATGTTAATTACTAGGTGCAAGTTCAAAGAAGGTGATAGGATGAACCAATCGATGATAACGGGGAAAACACGTAAACGCTACACTGACCTCCATCATATATTTCCGTGTCTCTCTTTCTTCTTTGTTCGAGGTATTTGTTCGATGCATACATAGCAAAAGTGGAGAAGACCACGACACCAGTGACGCCCAAACCCTATGCCAAAAAAAAAACCCAAGATTAGTTTGAATCTCGCGCAAACAGCGCAAAAGCTCACTATATTTCTCCAGGTACTTTTCTGCGTTATTTTATAATCTGCGCCAATGATGTAAAATGGCCTCTTTCGCATTCCTTCTAGTTTCTGGACTTGTGGTCTGTCAGGTTGAGGTTCAGCTTCCTTGTTCGCGTTCATGTTTATTTTTCGAGTAAAGAATCAAAAGATTGCGCGTCTTAAGAGTACGGTATGTAGAATCTAGATGTGGTAGCCCAGTGTTAGCCTGAGCTACGTAGTTGGCCTGGGGAGGTGAACGAATGTTGCGAAGAGGAAATACCGGGCCGGCCACCGAAGCTCGTCCCTTCTACTACTAGTAGTACGTCTCCCAGCGTCTCCCAAGTGCTACTCTGCGCAAATACTCGACCCGAAAATCGAAAATTAGCTTCAAATTTGTGTGAACGGGCACTACTCGGATATACAGGAAGAGTCATGATTCATTTCTTCCGCACGCACGTATCATTATCTCCTCAACGTCGACGCACACCAGGCCGTGTTGATATCAGGTTAGGTCAGCTTATACAACCTTCAAGATGATCTTCTAGGTTGCTTCCAAAGCCCAATCAACCTTGAACCGATACCTTTATACGTTTTCGTGGACAAATCATACAACATCCTTTCCGCAAATAGGATTTAATGAAGTTTATCATCTTCTTTGACTTCATTATGCTCACGGCGTACGTGAGTCTCTCTCTACATTGGGGTGAGTGTCGTGAACTTCATTTCACACGCTTCAGCAAGCTCGGTGTATTCATTTCATTGCCTACATAAATGGTGCGCCTTAATCCTCCCCATTCTTATCATGCCTGCTAACGTTCACTACACATTAGCTCCTTATTGTGGCAGATGCATTTCCCGCGACGCCTTCCGTCGAGGTTCATGGTGTGGATGTGGATCAGTTTTTTACTGCGTGGGCTATCCTCAAATTCACCTGGCAAAGCTAGTTCATACGACTGATACTCGTACAGTGTTCGGAATGTCTCACTAGGCATTCACCTGTACACCGACCAATGTGCAGACCATTCAGCCCGAAGGAGGTTTGGGGCATTAAAATCATTCAAAATTGGAATGACCCTCCCAGAATTGGACATCCTGCTGATTATTTCCGACATGAGTTATGTCGGGTTGACCCTGGCCGCTCTACTACCCATCCGATTTTCGAGAGAGGCGAATTGTGTCCTCTTACGCAGAGAATTTGGATACCATTGAGAATCTACCGTACCAGTGTGATGCGTGAAAGCTCCACCGCTGGACCTAATGAGATAGCGGTGAAACTGAGAGTCGATCCATCGAATGGTCTTGCTCCAGCACGGTGTGTATTCTTTTCATCCTCTCTACGCAATCTCTAATTACTACCTTGACGTTCCATCCAACACACACCACCTACTGTTACAGATGGAGACTTACCGATCACCCTGGAGAAGTATGTCCTTTTCGCCTTTCCGACATTTAACTTAACTCATCAATATTTGAGTGTATTGTGATTCGTGAAGATCGGAAGCCTCTCACAAGGGAGCTTCTCGAAACGATATACAGTTTTGTTGTACATTTCATGGACTATCCCATTGATGATGTGGAACAAGAATCGTGGGCTCAGTGGGATGGACTGTTGAACCCATCCGTTTGGCACTTTTTTGCTAGGAAATATTATCAGAAACAGTCTGAAGAATCTGGCCGAAATGCCTTTCATTATTTCTCTCCTTTGTTATGCACTTGAACAATACTTGTTTGTACGCGCATGTTCGGATTCAAGTCATTACCTCTTTCAAGTTAGTATCTATTACAGTCCTTTGCGCGACAACATCATGCTCGTTTCCGCTCGAAGTCGCTCTGTTTGGATTTACCATTCGACGGTATGAAACAGATTGGGAAAGTTTGATAACCATGAAAAGTCAAAGGCCTTGATCAAGATATTGGAGCCGTCTACTGAAGGATTCATAAACAAGCGCTCACGAGCAAGGAACCATGTGATCGTGTGAGCAATCCAACAGCGCCGTGCGATGACGAATCGTTCTATTCCCGCTAACCCCATTGGAAATGTCTACCTCTCGCGACCGTGTCGAAGACACGTATGAACGACAAAATGATCAACGTCTGGACGATCTACACTCAAAAATAAGGACGCTCAGAGGGGTGAGTCCGAGCAAATAACTCGATATAAACTCTCCTAACGACCATTCAGGTAACAACAGACATTCACGACGACGTCGAACGACAAAACCTCATGCTCGACGACACATCAAATACCTTTACCTCTTTCGCCAACTCCCTCACACAATCATCGAGAAGAGCAGCTCATGCGTTTGGGTTAACGTCAGGCGGTGTCAAAAGCTGGCGCGTGGCGATGTACGTTGTAGGAGCGTTTTTGTCGCTGTGGATAATGGGCAAGATATGGTGGTGGTGGAGTGCTAGTGGAGAGACAGTGGCTTGATGTCCTACAATTGGGTTAGATAACCGTCAGTAGTGTACAATACCTCGGAACCGGTGCGTCTGTGTTACGTTTTCTTTCGACCGAAGCTCACATTTATTGAAGGTCTAATGTGTACCATTATATGCTACCATTTATATCATATACCCTGTCATTTTCCTCTCACCGATCATGACATTTCCGTGGACGTACTCACGCTTTCTCCAACAACTTCCAAGTCTTGAACTCAGACAGCCCAGAAAAAGAATCGCGGATAAGTTCCGACGCTCGATATTCCATTTCAGAGGAGACCGCGACTTTCAGGCCGTCTTGGGGGTGTTATACTCGGGTACTATTGGCTCTCAGATCCATGCTACAGTGCGGATGGAAAGTTGCGAAGAGGAATTTGAAGATGGACATGTCAAGTCTCAAGGGAGAAACGAGTTTGAGCTCGGTATCTAGTAATTTGCCAGTACAGTGTGTTATTTCGTTGAATTCACGACATCGGTTTGAAACTTTATAGAAATTCAAACAAAATTGTAGTATCATCCATCCACTTGTCCTGCATTTCTACCGTCATCATAGTAGATACCTTTTCAATGTCTGTTCCCCCTAATGCATCTCGGAGGATTGAGAGTGCAACATTGTCGCAATGATCTGTTGTTGACGTTTTACAATACCTGGCGGTTGGCACAGCACATGCGACATCCATACATCTCTGAAAAATATCAAGAGGCTCTTTGGTCTCCAATTCGTCTTCGTACAAATCGACCAAGCCATCTGTACACATCAAGAGACACATACGAAGGACTATATCATTCCCCTTTTTGTCAGTATTCAGTCTAGACGGTGAATCGCCAAGTCTCTTTGATTTGAGATCGACGTATTTCACGTCTGGAACATTGGAGATGTACGGTGGAGTTAGATTTCGGTTGTTGACGGAGTTGATTAACTCTCTTTGATTCCGAGACTGCGAAGCGTGTAGGAATACTCGATCGGTGTAAATTGAGGGAAGTTTATATGGGTAGTCTCCGCTAACATGATTACACGCATGTTGAACTAGACGTAGACGTTGGGGGGTTAGGCTGATGCTTACCTCTAGTCACCGCGAGACCACCCAAAACGCGATTTCGAGACAAGACTTCTGGTTCATTTGGATGTCCTCGTATGAGCCGCTCTCTTTCTCGAGGGTTCAGACCGTTGTGATAAGAGCTCAGAAACATTGATTCGCGTCGATCGTCATAGCTTGACTGTATTCCCAGAACTACAAAGAAGTATCTTTTTATTATTATTATCCTGATTTATCGATGAAAAAATCCAAGGTAAGTGGGTTGCACTTACCAGCATAACTATCACCTAAACTGGCTACCCAAAGATCTTCATTATCAGGATTCGTCAAAGCAATAATCACAGTAGTTCCTTGCATAGAACGCAAGACCTTACTACGGTGATCACCGCCGAGGATATTTTGGACCTCGTATTCTGTAAGGGAGGATAATTGGCTTTCGGAAGGTATGCCGGAGAGCAAATCCACTAGCAGAGAATCGTCAACAGTTGTGATGACTTCTGCAAGTAGGGAGGACACTGAGTCAGGATCTAGCTTGGGGAAAGCGTTATTGAGACGATCTTGGACCTTTGTTGATAGGTGTTCGGCGACATGGTTTACTGTATCGTATCCCATATGTCCTAGTATTGAGTAGCATCGTAAGTAATTATTTCGATTTAATTTGCTACATAGTGTAGCCGACGTAGATTTCGATGAATTTTTACTCACCATCGAAGATAGCACGAAGCTTCCATACCGATCCATTCGGCAAAGTATATTCATGAACGACATACCTGTACATCTTGATTCCAGTTTTCTTCAAGTCCGTTCGGCTGGAATGAAACACAGTGCGTGGTTCCGTGTGCTCGAGCATCAGATTGACGTGCAAGTTCGGTGCTGATATCTGGCTCTGGTATAAGCGTGTAGGACCATGAGCCGTCACCAAACCTCCATAGAGATATTTCTCTCGGAGAACCCCTCATGGTGAGAAGCAAACGTCTCTAAGCGCCCGAAAAGTGTGCCAGCGCTTAGGTTGAGAACGCTTCAACTCTCTCGCAGTCGAATTTCTAGAGGCTTTTCTGATGATCGACTATCATTCAGCAACCAATTGCAGCCAACTGCGTCCGGTTTAACGTCAGCTCGATTTCCTGATGTTTCGATAACTCCGGATAAAGCGTTCTTACATCTATCTCCTCTATAACCCTCTTCACAAATGGCCAGCATTACCAACCCCGATGCTCGAAACGACCTGACGAAACGCGTCTTAGCGCAAATGACGCTTTCGCAAGCATCAAACCCACTCACTGCACCACTTCCTTTGCCAAAAGAGAAGTTCACACCTAGCGAACGAGCTCGACGACGTTTTGCCATCGAGGGCAACGCCATTGTCACTGGTGCAGGCGGCATTGGGTTGTCTGCTATCCGGGCTCTTCTCGAACACGGAGCATCAGGAATTGCCATATTCGATGTTCCCGTGTCGTATGCTACGTCCACCCCCGCCATCGATGATCTGAAAAAGGATTTTCCTCAAGCCAAGATCGCCACATATAACGTGGACGTGAGGGACGAAGAGCTGGTCAACAAAACTGTCGATCTTGTGACTGAAGACTTTGGTGCGGTTGATATGCTACTGTGTTTCGCTGGTGTAGTGGGATGTGAGCATGCGCATGAGCTCAAGGCAGATGATTGGAAACGGGTGATGGACGTGAATGTTACTGGGAGTTGGTTTTGCGCGCAGGCTGTTGGGAAGTAGGTTGTCTTTTTTTACGTTCCTTCCTCTTTACCGATTCATCCTATCAGGAAAATGATAGCTCAAAAATCAGGCGGTAGCATCCTCTTCACGGCATCCATCTCCGGACATCGAGTCAATTTCCCTCAGCCCCAAGTCGCTTACAATACTTCCAAAGCTGCTGTGCTCCAGCTTACTCGTTCTTTAGCCGGTACGGTCTTTAGTGATGATTTCTTTCCGTTGTTTAATACTTGTTCTGCTTCTTCCTTTGTCCCACTGTCTACAGCCGAATGGTCGTCCTTTGGTATCCGTGTTAACTCTCTTTCTCCTGGATATATGGACACCATCCTCAACGAAGGTGCTGGGCTCGCTGTCAGCCGGGCAATATGGGCCGACCGAAACCCCATGGGCCGAATGGGTGATGTCGAGGAACTAAGTGGCGCTGTAATCTTACTCTGCAGCAAACAGGCGGGAAGGTATATCAATGGTGTGGATATTGTCGTTGATGGTGAGTGATAATTCCGGTTTTTGGATACAATGGGCACTGATCCCTTCGAAAAGGCGGAGGTATCATTTTCTAAGCTCAGGTACTTATTTTGAGTTAGAACACTCCTTGAACAAAAAATTCCCTCGCAGAGACTCCGATCCGTGAACTGTAGCAGCTAAAATTGTAACAAATATACGGTCATACTAAATTTGCACAAACGAACAGCTTGATTTGAACTTGAATAATGGGGTTATAGTATGACCTGTTGTTCATGCCTTTTCTGGACTAACCTCAAGTCCAAATGTTCGCCCTTGTTCGCCATGGAGAAGATCCCAAATCCTTCGAATTCCTTTTGCCAGGACCTTGGCCAATCTTTTCCTCCAGAACTCATCCGCCTGGCACTGCACCACATGGGCTAGGTTTCCCGCCTGTCGGATGTCCCTCTGGAGATTGATTTTCTGTGACACGAGTGATTCGGCAACTACAATTTGTAAGTACGTGCACTGCTGCGCACTGGCTTTCAACTTGTTGATTTCTTCAAGGCTACTGGTCACTGGTGTGTTCTCCCGAATGTCGGACGCGTACCTGCCCAAGATTGCTCCAGGCATGGGTTTTGATCTTTTTTGCCACAGCGTTCTCTTCGCGTCGTTTTCGTATCGGATGTCAGAAAGTTATCGGAACACGAAAGGTCAACTTGAATATGTACAAGCATCGATGGTCAAAAGGCTTTCGCATGCGAACACGTATGCTTGACCTGAAGAGTATAGCACGCTACCGCTCCCTCGTTTTCTACCTGCAACTTCGAAGCAGTTATACCTCGAAAAATTTTACTCCGAGTCGCTATGACTTGAAAATGTTGTGCGTCCAGCTGGAGGTTTGTTCGTGTGTTCAGAAATTTGGTTAAAGCAAGAATGACAAGGACGATCGAGACTGTCCCGTTGAGGGAAGGGGAAAAGAGATACGCTCTCGAGGTATTTTCCTATTGTCATTCTCCGCGCAGAGAACTTAGAAGTGTCTTACCAGGGCTTCCGAACGCCGACGTGGTGGTAATTTCAGCTATGCGGGAAGTACTCAGATCAAAACCAAATATCATCTACTTATCAATGAAAAAATTCAACGGACAGCGAAGATCCGCTTTTCGCGACGTTGTGGAATGCCATTGTAAGTAGTCGGCGAGCAAGGCAGCTACAAAAGCTCTCCGCAAAATCCTCAAACGCTGTGGCATTCCTATAGCCAGAAGAAAACTAGAACCTAGAGTCTGTTCGCCAATTATCTGTCTGGAAAAGATCAAAAGGCTCCACTCCCTGAGTCTGACAGACGTTGGACTGTCGCAGTTCATGTCCAACCTTGCCTCGCTATCAAATGCTACGACGTGAAACTCGTCACTCCACAGCGGCAGCGTGAACAAATTTCTGAAGACGTATATGAACTCACTGTTCGCTGGTGGCGCAGCGTTTGAAACAAGGGAACGGTTGAGACAGGATCAAGTTGGACATTTTCTGACAAGCGATTTGATTCGGGGTACTATTGGCCCCCTAGAAGTGGGTCACACTGGGATGTGGGTCATTTGGTAGTTCTAGGCTGTAATCCATATCTTGGCCAGTAACTTTGATGTATGTCATGTGAAGTAGCATCGAACAATGCGCTCAGCACAAATCCAATGTAAACAAGGAGTGGAATGAGAAACAGTGGATAAATTGTTCGGAGAGGTCAGCCGAATTACATGATTTTCCTATTTCTCTCCCCCCTCCTAGCTGAGATCGACACTTCATTCAGCCGCTATCCTGTTCCAACATTCAAAATTCATCATATCGCTTCAGAAACACCTAACAAGCATATTGCCTTTCCTTATGATATCTCTTTGTCCTTTCATGGTCACCTAGAATGGCTCGACAAAACATTCATCATTTTTCGGGCACCTCAAAAAAGCAGCCGCCATATCTCCCAAACGAGGCTCTTGAATCTTCTCAAATTTCGAGCAAACGATGGATACAATACTCAGACCTCCTATGTCTAACCAGGAAATTTTGAGAAAATTTTTGCTACCTTGGGACCGTGGCCGCCGCACTGAAAATCCCTCAATGGGCTATCCAACTGTATTATTCTCTGTGCTTCGAAGTTTGGGTTTCTTGGTCATCTTAGCGCTTCAAGTGTGTTGCAATATCTCTCAAACTTATCTTTCATACTGATTTTATGCTTCCCTTCCATAGAATGACTTCGAGTGGGTTGCCGACCATATTCAGCATAAACTTGATGGGTTAACTTTTGACACAAGCACTTGGGGGGTTATATTTTGCTTCGACTCCTTGTCTACACAAACACATAATATATAGTCCTAGCATTAAATGCACCTATATTGAGCATGAATTGGGGTTAATTGAATATTGGATGACCTTTGGAGTCTGTTCCCAATGGGTGACCCACTTCCTGATGATTTCCTGATTTGGACCCTGCTTCCGTAATTAATTCACTGCATGACGGTTTCTGCTCCTACTGACACAAGTATATGGCTCAATTTGTTTCTACGATATCTGCTCAATATATTTTTCATATCTCAAGTCAAGGTATGCAAGCCTTTCTAATGACATTCATGTTTATTGCTATCATGACCCACTTCTCAGTGAGCAATAGTATAGTGGGGCGTAAGAATTTGCGAATGTTCAACGGACAAGTTGTCCTGACCCCAGCTTCAATCAGACTCTGTGCTCATATTCAGTAAGCAATTTTCTAGACCTGACTCTGTACATTGCCAGCTCGGGACCGAAAGAGAGCGATAATAGGGAATGATAGTGAAACAGCAACTTGAATGTATATTTTCTTGAGTCCACCTTTGATTCTCCCCTGAGTTTGACAGTTCTAGTCAAATTCTGATTCTTGATTTCTGAGGATCCGGATATCCTGAGAGATTTGCAGACGAAGGAACCATACATTCTTTAATGAACATCTTTCGATTCTTTCTCGAGCTCGACGTGGTGGGAAAACATGGCATACTATTCTAGGCTGCTATCCGAGCAGAATGCCAATCGGAGCGGGGAGGTAAGCAATAATACTGATGCACATGCTCGTGCATTGCGCCCAAGCTCTTCTGTTTTGTTTATGCAGTGAACATAAACATATTCAAAGTAAATAATATCTACAGCATCGTCGGTGAATCGTCAGTTGTGAGGTCGTCCTCTTATCCCTCAATGGTTCCAGGGACGATGTTCCACCGGGATAATCCCTGGAACCGGCGTTCAGCTTTTGGACCGAGCCGTGTAATAAACTTCCCTTTCCTTTCTCAAGTTCAAGCTTTCAAGGTTTGAATTTGGTTCTTCGTGACGCGTAAGCGCGCGCCAATCACAACCATCCGGGAAAATGTGGTGACATGTCACTCTCCTTGACAATATGACATCGATATTTCATTCATGCTCTGTCCCACCTGCTATGTGGTTGCATTCAAGAACGACAGATATGAATCGATAGACGATTAAATTTTGTGCCGCTCAGAAAATGGTTGCAACTCAAACCTCATCAGCCTTCTCATGGTCTTTTAGGATGGATGGATAGCCAGTTCCTGCCTGTAATTCTTCTGACTCATACCGATAAAGGCGAACATACATACGCGGCTTCTTTGGTACGCGATATTACTATTTGTACAGCAGATAGTGGCAGCTCTCCTAACGCGTTCAGTACATTTCATGCCGAGGGCACTCAGTGGATATAGTCCTGTGAACGTTCCTCGGAAGAGGGCTAAACTGCCCGATTCCAACTACCAGCCACTTATAGAATCAAAATGTCCAATCGTACCCAGTCAGCAATTAAAAATCAAGAAGCTTCCCCTATGCATTTCCTGTCCTCAAATCCTTCAAGCTTCTCACGTTACAAAATCCATGAATTCTTCTTCGACAGATCCAGGCACTCAATGAAGTCCGGGGAGTCCAAGTCATCCGTTATTATCGAGTTGTAAACCTGACGCTCTAATCAGACGGCATGGTTAGCCATCGAATATCCTTTCCCAAAAATATTTAAGCGGTACCATTTCCCTCCAAAGCCTCAGACCTTTTCCCCGTCTTGTCTTCAATCAACTTCTTCACCATCGTTCGCCGCGTCTCTTCCATGTTTTACTTCTCATCTTTCCTGCTGTTAGGACCGATTGGTGGGGCTTTGGCCGCCATCGGTCCTGTCACTGACTTGCATATCGTGAACTCGTTCATTCAACCTGACGGCTTCAACCGCTCTGGTGTCCTTGCTGAGGGCGTCTTTCCTGGACCACTCATCACGGGTAACAAAGTTTGTTCTGTTTGCAGCCATTTCATTGTTTGCCGCGCATTGATATCCGTATAAAATTCTAGGGCGACAATTTCCAGATCAATGTGATTGATGAGCTCACTAACGGAACGATGCTCTTGAGCACTTCGATTGTATGTCACTCCAGCACGATTTGACAGCGGTAGCTTCATCGTCCCTATTCCTAGCATTGGCACGGCCTTTTTCAGAAAACAACCAACTGGGCAGACGGGTATGCAAATACTTTTCCCTGCAATTCTTTCATTCACCAGTGATTGGTTTTCTCTTAGACCGTATGTATTATCAACCAGGATATACTTGTTCTCAACTGGCACTCTTCTAGAGCATTTGTGAATCAATGTCCTATCGCCGCGAATGATTCCTTCCTGTACAATTTCAATGTTCCGGACCAAGCTGGGGTATGCACATTTTTTTCATGCTTTTTTACTTCTTGGGAGCTGATCTTTTTTTCAGACTGTAAGTTACGTCCGATAAGCGAATTTATCGTTTCCTAAAAGAATCTTCAGTTCTGGTATCACAGTCACCTATGTATGTATTTTTTGATTGATCCCCGTTTCCGTTTAAGCGTTTCACTGAGTATCTCAACAAACAGCCACTCAATATTGCGATGGATTGCGTGGACCCTTGGTGGTGTATGACCCCCAAGATCCATACGTTGACCTATACGACGTTGATGATGGTGTGTTTTCTTATTTTTCCCTACAATTAAATTTCATGCTGCCCCCAGATTCAACTGTCATCACACTCGCTGACTGGTACGTTGTTTCACTTGAGACTGATTCTCATCGGCCAATTTGAACCTTGAATTGCTAGGTATCGTAAGTTTTCAATCCTTCTTGATGTTGTGTGTTCCCAATCTCACATTTGCCATGATTTATCAGACGTTCCCGCCCCTCAAGCTGGCGCTGTTCCGTATGTATTTCGACGTTGATTGATTTGATTCCCTGACTCTGGCTTTAGGACCTCGGACGCTACTCTCATCAATGGCCTAGGTAATTTTTATCGATTGTTAAGTGCGAATGTATAGTGAACAGCTTGAACAGGACGATCCGTCAACGGTCCAGCCGATGCACCCTTTGCTGTAGTCAACGTCGTGCAGGGTAGTCGGTCAGTGAGCAAGGAACTCTCGACCTTGTGGATTCTAATTCTTCGTTCGATCAGCTATCGTTTTCGTTTGGTGTCGATATCTTGTGATCCGAACTTCTTGTTTTCGATTGACGGGCACACCTTTACTGTACGCGATGCGTTGTGTCTACGAATCTCAGTCTGGGTTGGCTCACAGTTGAATACAGGTCATTGAAGCTGATGGTGTTAATCATGAACCCATTGTCGCTGATTCCATCCAGATTTTCGCTGGTGAGTTATGTGTCCTGTATGTCCCAAGGGATTCACTCATGGATGGTTCAATGTCATCAGCTCAACGATACTCGTTCATTGTGAGCTTGCGATTTGAACCTGTAGCTCTGGGGCTAGTCTGACCTTTGGCACATAGCTCACTGCAAATCAAACTGCTGATAATTATTGTACGTATATGCTATTTGCCACGTCTGGCATGCTTTGCAAACATCTACCCCGACATAGGGATTCGTGCCAATCCTAACAACGGACATACCGGCTTCGCTGGGGGTATAAACAGCGCGATTCTGCGTTATTCTGGCGCCCCTGTTGCTGATCCGGTCACTACCCAGACTTCTGCCAACCTTTTACAGGAAACAAGCCTTGTGGTAAGTTTCATAATCACTATTTTCTATTTCCTATTGCTCATTATACCTGGTCAGCCGCGTGAAAATCCCGGTGCTGTGAGTCAATGTGGTGAACTCACCTTGAACAAACTCTTGATCTGCTATTAGCCTGGAAATGCAACTGCCAACGGCGTAAATGTTGACTTGAATCTGGTCTTATCATTTGTGCGTGCATATGATATGTCCAGCAGAACCTTCATTAACCCTTACCTGTAGGTTGGAGGACGGTTCGAGATTAACGGGGTATCCTTTGTACCCCCTACAGTCTCTGTCTTACTTCAAATTCTCAGCGGAGCCACTACAGCAGGTAGCCGTCGACTGATTCCAGTACTTGAAATATTTATCTCACAATATCCACAGCCGAACTTCTACCCAGTGGCTCTGTTTACACATTGCCCTTGAATTCGGTCATCCAGTTGAGCTTTAATACGGTTGCAGTTGCAGCCGTTGGAGGTCCTGTAAGCAATGGATTTCTTCGCTCGAGTTCCAGCTTGTCTCTAAACCTATTCACTTTAGCATCCGTTCCATCTTCACGGGGTAAAGCGTGGCTCGCTGGCGTCCTAAATGAATATCAACTTATGTTTGTCTTCAGCACACATTTGACGTGGTCCGAAGTGCCGGAAGTACCGAGTATAACTATATCAACCCTCCGCGCAGGGATGTCGTCTCTACTGGTGCAGCTACTGACAATGTAACCATTCGTTTTACTACTGATAATGCTGGACCATGTGAGTGAAGCCCATCTTCCACCCTGCTGAAACCTACTGACCATGACTTCTAAGGGTTCCTTCACTGGTAAGTGAAATGAATCCAATATTAAGTATACGTTTTCATCATATTGGTTTATCCGACAGTCACATAGACTGGCATCTGGAAGCGTGAGTCTTCTCTTCTGCTTTGAGGTCACCTTTTGACCAGTGAGTCGCCAGTGGTTTTGCCATTGTTTTTGCTGAGGATGCCCCGGACGTCGCCGCCGTTAATCCCGTCCCCGGTAAGCGTTTTCAGAACTTGAAACTCTTCATTGGCCGTTAACATCACTGGCACGTCAGACGCTTGGAATCAACTTTGCCCAACTTATGATGCTTTGACCCCTGCACAACTTGGTGGAAATTAAGGTGCCTAAAGGCACCGACAAGTTCCAAAATACAGTCTATCCTTGAATCTATCTTCAAGCATCCCCCTTCATTTGATATTATATAGATAATTATTGGTACTCGTTTATGGGACCACACCATCAACGTGGTGGGGCCGTGTAACAATCTATCTGAACCTTTGTCCTCTTCTTCTGGCTGATTTGATTCAATTTTTCGTTCAAGTTTCTAAAATGGCCCAAATTTGGTGTTATGTACTCATAGCATGATCAATATCAATACCCATCCACTCTACCTCGCTGACATCTTTAGCAAGCCCTTTGGAGTCCTCCGCCTTTGGGTCCCGCTTCTTCCTCTTCGCTTTACCGAGGTCGCTGCCTGCATCATTAACCCCAACCCCAAGCATCTTCTCGTTGTCTGTATAAATGGGATGTCGACATAAATAAGTCTCCGAACTAGTTGGAAAGCAATGATCACTTACATTCTCCTGAGATTAGCTCGTCTACAATGTGATTACTACCTGATGTGATGTACTTAGCAGAAATACCCCGGGCGATAAGTGGTTGAGCGAGCATCTGCTTGAGTTGAGCTTTCAGGGCAGCTGCCGTGGCTTGGTCGGCTTTGCGTTGACGCTTGTTAGGGTTATCACCGTCGGAATCACTGGCAGATAAGATGAAAATGTTTGAAAGAAAAGAATGATGCTGACACATACCTGGCGAAATCAGAGTCTAGTTCAATCTCCATTGCCTCTGCGGTCTCCTTCATCCAAGTCCGTTCATGTTTTGCCTTTTTAGATTTGTGATGTGTCGTCTCAATTTTTCGAGCGAGTTGAACCCGGGCTTTGAGTTTGTCAAGCATACCAAGGTCAATAGACATTTCTTGGATTTCATCCTCCTCTATGATATACCTCAGTAACCGACGTACTGCAAGTACAAAAAAACGCGGCTCACGTCGACGAAGATTCCCCAATAGCGCCCTAACAACTTTGCGTTCATCCGGTGCACACATCAACATACTGAAACCCTTCCTCATAGCTCGGGCTGTTCGCCCATTTCGGTGGATATACACGTCTGCTGAGCGAGGAATTTGGTAGTGGATTACGTGGTCAACACTGGGAATGTCAAGTCCACGGGCGGCTATGTCCGTCGCGAGAAGGACAGAGTTGGGGGTGCTTTTGAATCTGAGGGAGAAAGAAGCCAGGCGTCAGTAGACAGTAATTTCAGCCAAAAGAATACATGAACATAACAACATCCACATCCAAAGCAAAGCAACGTGGAACAAGAATGTAGTACAGACCTATCCAAGTTCTTCAGTCTTTGCCTTTGCTCCAACTGGGAATGCAATGGAAATGCTTTGATATTCAGTAGTTCCGCCAGTGGTGACAAACGTCTGATTCCATCTATCGAACTCAGGAATACCAGAGAGCGGCCGGGATATCGTAAGAGAAAGTAGTACAGGTATACATCCTATGGAAGGGAACAGATGAAGATATCAGGAGATGCAGATGATGAAAGTGAAACAGGCAAAACGGAACATGCGAAACAGTAAGAAACCGCACCTTGTCCGCGGAAAGGCATTGAATTTTACCCTCGGTCAATGTGGAGACTACACCGCCCTCAGGGCTCAAGTCTATGACTTCGGGGTCGCGATCGCGAAAGTCCAATCGTAGCAAAAGATCATCTGCCGATGGTAAATTATAGGTGAGAAGACTCTGTGATTCGTTGTGACCCACCAAGTGTTGACGCTGGCTTGTTATTCTTTTGAGGATGTTTTGATCTTTGCGGTTTCGCTCTCCTCTTGACATTTTTTTGTAGATCCTTACTGAGCGTGGCGGAGAACACGAATGTCTGCATCTGGTCTCGAGCAACTTTCTCTTTGTCGTCCTGGACGTCGAACCCTGGCTCACCATGTATGGATGGAACATCGTCCGGTATTCGATCTTCCCTAAACATTCGTAAAGATGGCGAAAGGTAAATCGAGAACACAAATGCTTACAGGGATTCCCGTAAAGTAAGTCGAAGGATGTTGTCCAACTCCGCAAAATGACCTGCTTCAATCATGCGGTCGGCTTCGTCCAAAACGAGAAACCTCAGACGCTTCAGTTCTTTGGCCAGAGTCTCGTTCTGAAAAACATCATGAGAATGCAGCGTAGGGATCAAGTTCATAACGCACTTCCTCTATGATATCCCACAAGCGACCCGGAGTCGCCACAAGCACATCCACACCCCTATCTAGAATGCGCTTTTGCTTCTGAACGGACATGCCACCTACTATCGCCGCTGCGCTGACAGTGGGTGGCGGTTTCTTGGCGGTAGACTTCAAGTCTCCTTGTTCTGTTCCTTTCCTTTGCTCTTTTGATCTTCCATCGTGTTTATTGTTGACGTGTTCAATCTCGATGGGATCCTTGTAAGTGCTGAGACACGCGTTCAAATGAGTCGAAACTTGAAGTGCAAGTTCACGAGTCGGAGCTAGAATGAGTGCTTGTACTGGACGGTGCTTGGACGAAGGTCTTTGTGGTGCTGCCAATAGCAGCTTGTGAAGGATAGGAAGACCATAGGCCAGTGTTTTACCAGATCCCTGCTAGTTTTAAGTGCGATAATAATGAAATCAACAAGAAAACTGACTGTCTGAGCAACTCCAACGACGTCTCGCTGCTTGAGAGCAAGAGGAATAGCTGCGGCTTGTATGGGCGTAGGATTTAAAAACTTATTATGATGAAGACATCTGGTGAGTTGGGGATGAAGATTATAAGGATGCCAATTTGGCAGTAACTTTTCTGCTGTTATGAATAAATACTAGCATTATGTCGAAGCCGATAGCACTCACAGTCAAAGTGTTCTTCTTCAACGACCACATCAACTTCACTCTCGCCTGTGACAGGCTCCTCGGAGGATTCAGCTTTCTCTTCTTCCCGTCTGGCCTCATCGACGCCGATAAACTAATGACTCGGTGAGCCCGATTGCGGAGCCCAGACCAGTTATTATTCGGCGTACATTGAATCTAGCAACCCTTCCTGATTCAGTCTCTTCGTAGGTAATCTCGACACCCTCTACTTCTTCCAACTCCAGAATTCCATCGTCGCCGTCCAATCCAGTTTCCACCGGACGCGAAACGGTGGTCCAAGGAAGGTTGTCGGCACCATCATGCTCCACCTTGAGTTTTTTGCGCGACGAGCCTGCCAAAACTGAGGGAACACGCTTTCTGGACAATTTATTCCTCATTATGGAGGAAAGAAAAATTCGGTTTAGCGCTCAGATGCCAGATAAGATACTTATCTTATCGTTAAAGATATACATAAAAGATGATCCTTGTTTCGAAGTCGTTCTCCAGACCCAAATGCATCATCCATAGTCATCCATTTCTTCGTTCTGCAAGCCGGCTACACATATACTCTTTCGGATTGGCTATACATCAATTCTTATACGCTGGCATGGACGATAGACATTTATTCTCATCAGCAAAAAGCTTCCCAGCAGTTCCCAGCTCTTGTCATGGGGGTCATCACAGACGAAACACTCTCCAAATATCACGAAAGAGTCGAAGGGAAGACGGTCATTATTACTGGTGCAGAATATACCCTTTCTTTTATGTTGAGCAGAGAGCAAACGCGCTCTTCAGGTGCCGGGGCAAGTATAGGACGAGCAACAGCCATTCTATTCGCATCATATGGGTTTGCCTCTTCCTCATCCTTCATGGTCTGCTCGGACTCAGAACTTTCAACAGGGCTAAAGTTGTGGTCGCTGACAAGAGTTTGTCTGGCGTAGAAGTAACTGTGTCAGAGATCCGATGCATCAAAGGGTGAGTGGTAGCTGCGGTTCATTCCTTGCACATAGATCCTTAATATTTAGTAGGGAGGTGGTTGGATGCGTATGCGACGTCACTATATGGGAGGATGTAGTAGCAATGTACGACCTCGCTATTCAAGAATTCGGTTCAGTGGACATAGTAGTGCGTAAATTTTATAGGTTTTTGTGTATACTTCCATATAGAACCGCTAAAATTGCAGGTTGCCAACGCAGGTGTAGGCGAAATTGGCGGTCGTATGATGTATAATCCCAGCGAAGGACGTCCAGTCAAGCCGCTGACTACAACAATCGACGTGAATTTGACCGGTGTTCTTTACAGTTACATTCGTTTACTACTCGATCCATTTACAACTCATATATATCCTGAGCGTATAGCCGTTCACCTTGCCCAACATTATCTACAGCTAAATCGACCTATGCAAGACATGTCCTCTGAATCATCATCCTTGAAGTCCGTCGTTCTCCTAGGTTCATTGGGTAAACTTAAGCTGTCTTAGATCATAACATTCTTCTAGCTTATGATACCCCACTATACTACAGCGTCATGGACTGCATTAACAAAAGCGCCAATGTACACCGCTTCGAAACATGCTGTTCTGGGATTGATGCGCTCTTTAGATGCCTCCTTCGTATCTAGAGGTCTTCGCATCACTAGTATCCATCCTTTCTTCGCAGGTATGTGTGAGCCCTTACTACTTACTCACCGAGACAAGCATAAGCTGTTGATTTTCCTATTTCTCAGCCACTTCCATGGTCCCTAATGTCATTCGACTGCAACTAGCAGGAATTCCTCTTGCTCCCGTTCCTAGAATCGCCAGAACAATCCTCTATGCGGCGACTCAATCAGACCCCGCTTGCAGTGGGGCGGCATTCTGGGTTCCGGATGGAGGTGCTTTGGTGTTCATGGTATCAAGGGAAGAATTCAAACCCGGTGTGTACGACGATATCGATAGGAGTTCAAATGCGACGTCCGTGTATGTCTTTATGTTGTCGACATCCATATCCAACAACTGCCTTACTTCTTTGATTTCAGAGGTCTGATTGGACCGAAATATCACATGAGACGAATCTATACCATAACGCGGCTATTATGGAGGGAACTAGTAATCGTAGGTGGTTTTACGACGGTTGTGGGGTATTCCATATGGGCTGGTGTTTGCCATTTGTGGTGTCACAGAAGGTAATCTTGGTATGCGATATTGTGCTTTTGCAAGCGCTCACTTATATCCCGAGGCGGTATCGAGTCGTACTTCGCTTGTATGATATGATTCGAATGAAACCAACAGTTTTCATATTTCAGATTAAACCAAGCCGTCTGTCCTCTTCTGTCCTCTGCACAATCGAGGACGTCTGCATGGAAAAGTTTGTTGTGTCTCGTCGGCGTCGCATACTTCCGATGTAACGTATCTTTCTTGTCAAACTCTGTCACTTTTGTCTGTTTTACAGGTTATGAAGATCCACAGCCACTTCTTGAGTATCAACTATGACCAAGAGACCAAGGAACGAACAGTAGTATTGTGATATTGTTCTCGTGCGCCCGGTATTCCAAAACTTCTTTCACTTCCGCATCATTCGGGTAATGTAGGTTATATCTTCAATGCTGAACCTGATATTCAGGCGCAACGGATGAAATAACGGGTTGTAGTCTGCGAACATTGACCACCATTCTTTCCGACTTCGAAGATGCGAAATCCCGCAGTGGGAGTTGTGCGTACGTAGGTGTCCGTTCAAGTTGACCACCGAATGATTAGTTGAAAAAGAAGAAATCTCGTGTTAGGTCCGTACCGGCTGTATTACTATGTCTTCTTCTTATGGTACTATCCGTCAGGTTTTGAATGTGGTCCATAAGAGCGTATGTAGCCTATCATGTGCCTGTGGTCAAATTCCATTAGGAAATTAGGATCAACAAAACGAAAGGATTCCTCAGAGAAGGACCTCTCCGAGGTATGAATATAAATTGTCTGAATCCGTATCTCGGCGGCAGCACCTGATTGGTAATAGTACTTATCCGAAGGGGGCAGAACAGGTCCGGATATGCTGTCATATAGTATGTACCAATAGCTGTGAGTCTGTGACCGTCTTCCTGCATCTTCCCAGCTTCCCGTTTTGACAAGATGCATAGCAGTAGTAAGTACATCCTGGACTATCCTGGATCGGTCGTCAAGCTACCGTCAGGATCATTGCAGTAATCCTAGGTTATCATCTTCATTCAGGTCCGTGTATTGATTATTGATACTAAACATTCAGTTCACATGATTTGAACCCAACATAGAGGATATTCTTGGGATATTCAGCAGCGGTTCCGAGAGCTGCAACCTGTTACACCATGGTTGCACTCAGGCGTACGAGCGGGAGTCGATAAGGGTCAATGGAGATCTGTTTACGTACTACTCATATATAGGGTAACAGCCTCTTGGGCTCTCTTGAGCCCTGCTTGACCTATTGATCTATGTATACCCTTTCAAATTCAACACAAGCTGTCAGTGTTTTTTCCAGGTTAACACATTAACATAAAATTTTCACAAGTTCGCCCCAGATGTATTCCATGGGAGGGGGATTCTGTTTCACCCGTTTGACCGCTGTTCCTTTCCCCAAGCGTTTGAGCGATACATTGTTGATGGAACTGTCATCACCACTTACTCGAGGACTGCTCCGGGGCAAGTCGTTGCGTTGCCTTGAACACGATTTATTTCTTTATCTGGACAGTTACTCCCAAGCTACGACCGAGACACTGTGGTCCAATTCATGGTACATAGCCGTGCGCTAGATTTTACGATTTCACGTTCATACTCGCTCATGTTGGAAGTTGCTCAAGTCACGGGGGTCAACTCTGGAGGAACTTGACCTTTGGGGTTCAGCACTAGCTATGTAGTCTGATGCGCACCTTTTCCACGACGACAAAGGTCCTGTGGACCATAAGCTAACCGTAAGAACTCGAAGCTTGAAGAGCAAAGCCACTCTTTTTATGGAACACCATGCATCTAAGTTTAATTTGTACACAGTACTTTATATATATAATAGAAAAGCAAAAATAGGACCAATAAAACTTGGACGAATAAGCTATGGACACTGACGCATTAGCGTGCAACAAAAGCCGAGGTCCATGATAGTAATATAGCAAGTCTAGAAGATGAAGGTAAACGAGTGTGGGTGATGATAGTAGGCGAACGATAGAGTAACACGGCATAAAATATATAAATAAGAGATAGAAAAAAGGAATGTGTGTCCGAATTCGTGATGGGAAGCATACAGTACAGCAACGCGAAAGCGGGTTGTGAGCTATGATACACTGGCAGAATAATTCGAAAGTGTGGTGTTAGAGTGATACAGTTGTGTTGAATTCTGTCCATGGCGAGGGCAATTGAAAACGGAGGCTTTGATTGAGCTTGTTGAGATCAACGAAAAAGAAGAAGCAAAGCAAAATCCATGGGAATGCCTGCGCAAGGAGATGTTATGAGCGCGAGTGTCCGACCTGTTTAGGCGCGCTTTGGAAGCAAATTCACCACCCTCGACTTCTTGACTTCCCTCCCCCCTTTGCCAAAATACCTTTCCGACTCAAAAGACCAATGCAGTGAACCGACCATCCAATCCTCCAGTCCAGTGACATAGATTTGTACCTGCCGATCTATCTCTGGACCCCAAGAAGGTAACTGAGCTCGATCGTTCATGAAGCGGTCAATAGACTGCTGGCAAAGTTGACCAACCAGATCAACTGCGGGCTGTAGATCGAGGGAGTGATGGTTCATGATGACGGGGATCATGTTATGAGTGTCTCCTTTCGATTGTTCAACATTGTAGGAAAAGATGTCCTGTTCATGCGTCCAAGGACCAACGATGGGTACAGGGTTTAAAAAATACAGAGTGCGGGGGTGAGTAATGAGCGTGTAAAGCACGAGGAAAAGGTGTTTCGGTTAATATCGTGAAAAAAAAAAAAGTGAGGATGAAATGACATACGTTAGACCACGTAACCAAATCGTTGGCAGCCTCGCCCAAGCTACGAATGAGTGGGTGTTCCATCACTTCATCCGGTATGTCGAGGTTATTAGAGTATTCGATTAATACGAAAGACGTCTTGCATCCTAACGTCAGAAAACACGGAAAGAAAATTAATAATTGACGAATACAACGTGGGTGAATAGAACGTACCTGACGTATCTCTGCGAAGGGCAATGTATGATTCAAGATCAGGTATTGCGCCCTCCTGCCGATCGTTGGCTTGTTCCGTTACGCTCTGGAAGAAGAAGTCAAGCGTCTCCATGAAGCGTTGCTGGACTCCGGGAGATGCAGTGCTAACGAGCCGCTTCCAATAACTGCCCAGAACGGTTAGCAAGAGTAGACGTAGTAGCAGTAAAAAATTCCACAAGTAACTCACTCTCTGGTCATTTTGGCAATACGAGGAGACTGGTGGTTTTCAGGATGATACAAGGTATTCATCACCACATCTGCTGTGGTCATGGTTCCGTGATTATCCATATCGTCAGAAAGGTTGTCCAAGTGGAATAGATAGGTGAGGAAGTCATTGCAGACTCTTAATTGAGGATAAGCTGCAGTAGGATAGACCATCGCTGATGATCATATGAGTATAAGTAATGTATAGACCCAGAAATACATACCGGCTAGCAAGCCACAATTCAGCCCGTGGTATCTATCGCGTATCTTGCCCACTAGATTATCGCCTTGGAAAAGCCACTTCTTCGTTTCGGTGGTAACCTGTTTTCTGTGACGACTAACATGTGGTTGAAAGGGACAGTCAGATACGAGATCTGGCAGAATAAACTTTGTAGGAGCAGATGAAGGCATAGCGAGTAGTGAGATTAGCAAGATTAGCAAAGGCGAAAGCTAAACAATAACAGCGATGCGAATGAGAGTTGGTTAAAAATGGGAAGGTGGATTAGAAGAGTGAGAAATGAAAGTAAGGTAAGACGAGACGGAGGCAAACAGCTTTTAAGCATACGCAGACATACCACGATCGGACAGCTAAATCCGGCAATCTATGATGAGCGTTCACTCCGAGGCCCATTCCAAACCACAGCACAGGAGTATTAGTCCGAAAACGTCGTGAATAGATCGTTTCGGTCCAAATACGTATATGTCCCATAATGCATAAATGGGATTACCAAGATTCAATGGGTCCCGCGAAAGATATCGAAGGGAGCCAGGAACTCCCGAGCTGGCTGTCCACAATCCGTTCAAAACATGTCCGGATTCCCGTCTTCGTTCTTGTGAATCATGAAATATTTGTCCAAATAACACAGCACTGATTTTGAGAGGACGGAAAGCTCTGCATTAGTGGCAACCTGAGAATGATATATGGATAATTTGGGCGAAAGATGGGAGTAAAACCCGTCGAATTGTCAACGAATAGAACAGGATGGTTGATGGCGTAACGGAGGACAGGTCATTTGGAATCCGGGCGTGTCACAAAAATGACTCAAAGTGTGTCACTGTGCACGCCGGAATCCGCCGCTTGAACTTGAAGCGCCGTCACGCCCATCTCCATCTCGCCTCGAACAAAAATCTACATTCTAAGACTTAGATTGAAAACTGTGTTGATAGTTGGCGCTACGTCTTCGAATCCTTGGAATCTAGCCGCCTTTACCATGCGTTCAATTACCTCAACCGGGGATGTAGAATGTCGAAGGAACTCTTCAGAATTCTTCGAATCGAATCGCCTTTTTCGTTCTTACTGGACATCCACGCCAGCATGAGCTTCTCTCACTGGCCATGACATTTTTTTACACCTGTGTTCTTTCTGACTCTTCTTTTCCAAGTAATCTGCCATCTATCGCGATATCGTTACGAAATCTGGTGTCTCTACTCAAGCCCAACTCTGTATTCTCGGAACCTCCTATGCTTGGAAATCTGAATAAGTTTAACTCCCAATGCGGTAGCTTTAATGAAGATCTTTTGCAGCCGCCAGTACATAATGCCAACGCTAAATCTGTGAATGGCGGCTAGCTGGGGATGGTATAGTGTTCCCTCGATGCCCGCCACCAGTGCTCTCAACTTGACAAGACATGAAGTGATACTAGTACCGACATACTGCTTGCATATTAGCACGATCTAGAATCTTACTTTTCATTGTTGGTCAACAGTGATAAGCTGAACGAGCTGAAAATTTTCAGCGCTCCACCCAAAAGCGTGCTACAATTCTAGCGAGGTCGGTCAGATCTTTAAAATTACCACTGGAGCCTAGGCCCCCTTTTCAACAGCCAATGACGGCAGAGTCAATCGATTACATGTGATACTGGAGGTGTAGCATCGATAGTAGGTGGCATTTGAGCTATTATTTGTGGTATACGAGTCGGATAAGTTCTCTTAGTTCACCAGTCAGATTTTATTTACTTTTTCTTCCTCTATTTGAGCTTAGTTTCATCATCTCAACTTCGAGCCAACAATCAATCTCAAGCCGGTACTAGAAGTTCATGTCGATCTAGCATCGTACTAGCTCGAACCACACAATAATCATCCAGGCCTTTCCGTGCGATTTTACAGCTTAGTTGTTTTCCGAAAATCGTATATTATGCCGGAAGATTTTGAAGATGCGGAGGTTCAAGAGAGTAATACTCTTGGCTCCAATCTACTCGATACATTATGAGGTTCTTCAAGACTCAGCTTCTGAAACATGCTACATGCTACTCGCGTGCAAATCGAAGACTGGTCGAAAATTTCCTCAAATTAGCATAATTAAACCATTTCCGAAAAAAAAATCTGGTCAAATTCTTACACGGAGCGGGTCATCATCATCGAAATGCACCAGTCACATCGTCGGAGTGTACGCTGGTTCTTTTCACAGTTTTAATAAACAACTCATATCCGGTGAAGATTTGGAGCGAGAGAAATCGTTAGCTTGAAATGGCCGACATGCCCGTTAAACAAGGTAATCCTTTACAGTAATAGTACTAAACGGGGGGGCCTGCATGATAATCCTAAAATATGTGAACTTGAAGAGCGACACGCAGGGGATGTTTCAAGCTTATCATTGCCCCGTAAGTTCACTGTAAATCTACTCGATACCAAGGTCGGTTGATCTACTAGATATCGACGACGGTTGATCTACTAGATACCGACGACGGTTGAGGTGCGTTTAACCTGGAGCGAGTCAAGAGCCACGGTGAATAGCTACAATCTGAACCGGAACCCGGTTCCGAGTGCCTCAAAGTCAGTCGATCCTTTCGGACTTTTGAGTCCGATTCCTCTACGTTGTTGAGCGTATGCGTAGGAGAAGTATATTGCCTATACCATACTGGTGAACATTAAAGTCAGCGCCTCTCACCTCGAGTGCGGATCATGCGCTCAGCTTTGATTGAAGGTCAAGCACACATATAATCCGGTTATTGCTTAGCCGCAAAGCTTGGTGCAAGAAACTTGAAAGTCCCCCCCGATAGAACAGGGATATCCACAATGTGATTCAATTCAAAGCTTTTCTCTTGCGGCGGCTTCTATCTTACACCGAATCGGTGTCTGTCGGCGTATACAACGATAGTGTTTGAGAAATATTAATGATTGGAAGGTATTGACTCGGAGGGTATCATCAAGTCACGACAGTACAAGTTCAATAGCATCGGGGTAAACCACACGTCGGAGGACAGAGAACCACGGAAAGCAAGGTGACTGTCGGTGCCGCTCGGAATACTTGAACGGACTTATACGGAACAGGCTATGAATTATACCACCGAGTATTGGAACTTGAATGAAGAAACTAACAGGCGAGTTGAATTTGATGGAAAATGAATAGCAACCAGTGGAATGACTTTCCTCCCTGGGAACAGATATAGGGTGAGCTAATACGAGCTTCATGATGCCATGAGTCGTCGATATCATAAATAACAGTGGGTATCCCTTGAAGTTGTGATGCCAGCACGGGCATTTTAACAAAATCGTATGAAGACTCCGCTCGAGCATGGAAGCGAGCAGTGAACGAGTTATGTTCCTTGAGTAGCAGCAGGTTTTGGCCATTACGCGATAGCTGAGTCGTCAATGTCGGTGTTCAGGAAACGTTTTAGCGTCCTAATCAAGGAAATTAATGGTCAAAGCTGTACTTACTACAAGAGTCACATGATCCTGAACGTTTCTATTTTGGTCACTGGCAGTGTCGGTGACGTTTTGTTCTCGAGTTGTCATAACCTACCCTTTTCTGCCGCTGCATTCGTGCCGTTGTGAATAGAGTTGTTTATCCTGCTTCTATGCTCACTCACTGACTGATTCCTGCCAGACTTTAGCTGGCTGAATCTTGAAGTCCGCAGCTGAGCTCATAATGAACACGCCAAAGTCGAATCGCCATTCAACAACTCCTCGTCGAACATTTGGTGCAGATGATTCTGCATTGGACGATACTGATGCTACACCCACCAGATCTGCTCTACGAAGAGCTATACCCCGCATTTCATTTGGGAGTTTGCATCGTCCGAGTTTTAGTTTCAAGAATAGTTCCGATAACGAAGACGGCATTGTTGTGTCGCTTACTGCCGATAAGGCTCCCATTCCTTCTGTTACTCAGCCTGCTCCGGAAGTGTACGCCACACCTTTGCCGGTGCTTTCAATGATCGTGCTGTCTATTGTACGTCTTCATCTCACTTCTTTATCTTCCTCTCTATTCACAGCTTTTGTTCTAGACTCTGTTGGGCGAATTCCTGTCTGCGAACGTTTCCACGCCGTTTTTGTTGTTCATGGTCAAAGGCGAGCCTATCCACCCCACTTTTCAATACATTTTCTCAGCAATGTTAATGTCAGGTTTTGGAAAGATCACGGACGAAGCTGAAATTGCGTTTTGGACTGGAGTTCTTGGTGCGTCCCCTATCCGACTGATTTTATCATCCCCAAATTAAAATAAAAATAATATCAAGTGGCCACTTTCTTCCTCACACAATTCCTCACTTCCTTGCTATGGGTGCGTTACTGCATGATATTTCCGAATTTCCTGTCACGAAAGACCCTTAGGCTACTATCGCGGAAAAGCATGGCCGGAGATCCGTTCTAATCGTCTCCCTATTGGGTAGTGCTGTGACCTGTGCAATTTTTGGGACATCCACTTCTCTTCAACAAGCCATATGTGTACGTCTTTTACAAGGAATTTTCGCAGGTGCTGTCGGTGTTGCTCGAGGCTCCGTTGCTTTTGTGACAGATACCAGCAATGAAGGTAGAGCTTATGCTATCCTAGGGTATGTCAAACAAATTTACCCTCCACATGCTCATGTTCAATAAGGTTCACAGTTTCTGCTGGGGATTAGGTGGTGTCGTTGGTGCCATCATTGGTGGAACTTGTAAGAGACACTGAGTGAGTTGAAGCCAAATTCAAACTGACCTCTGGCTGTCAGTCGAACGTCCGGCGGACAAATGGCCTGGCGTTTTTTCTGAATTTCCAATATTCGTCGAATTCCCGTATCTTCTCCCTTGTGTAATGGCTGCAAGTGTAACTCTCTCCGGTAAGAAATACTGCTCATCTAAAAATTTTTGTTTTAAACACAACACACAGGCTCGATTTTGGCTTGTTTTCTAGGGCCTGACGGTGGTCCTCGCCGGGGGGCGATCCAACTTCTCCCTGAAAAGAATTATGACCATCCAACAATTCCTGAGGAAGACGAAGAGTCCATGCCACCCAGTCCGGTATTCGAAAATCAAGACACCCGGAATACATTTACAGGTTCACTCAGAAGATCAATCGGCAAAAGACTTTCTGGATATCTTGGCAGTCGCGCACCCGATACATTACCTGGTTTAGAATCCCCGCCGCCTCAACAGGCCGTTCCTATGTCTATCGGAACCAGACTTGAGCGGACCCGCACAGTATCTAATTCAAAGCCCAGTCGATTTAATGGTTCAGCATATGGTTATGGCAGCCATCGAAATAGATTGGCCAGCAACACCAGTTTGGCTCGAAGGCTCTCTAACCGCCGAGGTAGTGCGGTTAGCTATGGCAGACGTGGTAGTAATACCGCAGATGGGTTCCCCTTGCGCGAATCGTTCGTTAACGATATGAACTTTGCTCAAAGGCTGCTCATGGCGAATGAGAATGCGGTTACAAATATTGCTGATCTTTGGGTTGCCGCTGCATTGAATGTTGACAACGAGAATCCTTTTGAAAGCGATTCTGACGTAGACTCAAATCAAGGAGACGGAGACTCTGATTTTGATGACCCTCTTGAGGATTTTGCAGATAATGACATTCCTGCCTCACCTACTACACATTTTCCACGTCGCAGCTCTCGACCATCTGTCAGTGGGTCATCTATTCGCCCGGCTATTGGGTCTACACGCCAACAACCCTTCGGATCACCTCGCCGTCCTTCTGTCCCATCTAGGGCAATACCTATTCGTCAATCCTCTTACAGCAGCATGTCTGATTATGGGACGCCTACATCTCGCAGATTCTCGAATGTCCCCAGTATCTTTTCTCATCCCGGTGTTAGAACTCCAATTGCCGTTTTAGATGCGCAGCAGCTTCTCCTCCGCGACGAAGAGGTAGTACCTGCCGATATAAATGAAAATGAAAACTTGGAACCTATCCTGGAATCTAGACGTGCATCAACGATTGTACCTGACGAAAATGAAGTCCTGCACGAGAAGCCGCCATCGCTATCGTCCCAGATCCCAATTCTCGTTATCATTCAGTACGGTTTATTGGCACTACACAGTACCACACATGATCAAATATTTATGTCCTATCTTGTGACGTGGGTAATGTCAGCCTTTCATGAAGTAGATCGTGCTTAATTCTTTTTGTACGCCAGTGATTATGACTCTGGAGGTCTCAACTTGAATGCAGGACATTTTGCACAACTTAGTGAGTTTTCGTATCGAGTGTAGATCTTGGGTGCTTATACGCCTTCATCACAGTTGCGTTGATGTGTTTAGCTCAGATCTTTTACCAGTTCTATCTGTATCCGTATGTCCTAGTCTCTGGTTTCATCCCTTGTCATATCGTTTGACTATTAGCATTTCCCGCCTGGCTCAGAAATCTCGGGTGAATATTTTTGGCCAAGCACTAATGTCTTGAACTAACCTCTTTCTCCTCTAAGGCCCCCAAGAGGTCGTTTCTCACATCTAACCATGTTCCGGCTTGGTTCATTATTCTTCATCCCGTCATATCTTTCCGTAATTCTCTATCGGGTACCTTTCGCCAGCGAACAGGAAGATGGCAATCTGCCCCTCATGACCGGTGAGTTCTCCAAGTCCAAAGTTTTTTTCTCTAATATCTATGACTCTTCGTAGCGTTGACTATTAGCACGTAAGCTATCCTGTTCTGCCGAAGGAACTCTTCATTGTTGACCTCAACTCTAGTGCATTGCGTTTCTGTGGTGGTACCTTTGCATATACGGCCATCTCGATTTTGTTGAATTACAGTAAGAAAATCCTCTTATATAATGCACTTCATCTTAGTCATCTCATTTAGTGACGCCTCCTGACGCTGTCGGGTTCGCTAATGGGATTGCACAAAGCATTGTGAGCTTGGCTCGGTGTGTCGGCCCTGTTATGGGTGGCTGGGTACGGTTTTGTGTTCTGACCATGAATCTGACTATCTGATGGATCTTTGTTAGCTATGGTCAGTCAGTGTAGAAGGCAATCCGAACGGATATCCTCTTGGATTTATTGTTTGCGCCGGCGTATGTAGTCTCGCTGTTCTTCACAGTTTGTTCATTCGGTGAATTGCACGAGCAACTTCCTATTCATTTTCTACAGCACATTTTTCGATGTCGCGTGTTGTCTCATGTCGTTCTTGGACTTTTCATTTAGGTAAAACAGTGTATAATTATTAGGCACGGCATAATTTCAACTTTCTCCTTATGCTTCACCGCGGGGAAGGGAAAGCACGTATCGGTCAAGAATTGAACCTCTGTAATTCGGCCCATCATTAAAAACATTCGAACGTCAAACTCTACAAGTACTGTATGTACGGAAAAACCAAACATATAGCTACCTTGCCGACTTGGGGTCACCAAAGAAAATTTCAGCAAACCAGGTACAGCTCAGAACGTCGGGAGTTGGGACTTTGCGTCATCTGCTAATGACTTCGGCTTCGGCCATGGCTGGAACTTTTTTTATTTAATTAACAGGTTTGAATGAAATCCTTGCGTCATAATTCGCCAGCTTCCTGGTAAAAAGCATGGCGTTCGTCGTCGCTTGAACAAGTTTACTGTTACGCAGTAGTGGTTTACCGTCCACCGCTCCAGTCCAGATTCGTTCTGGACTCAGCTTGAGACACGGCGTGTCTATTGTACCGTATTGTAGTTCACGATATACCCTGATATAGTACCACCGCATCCTGCGAGTTAGCTGTTCTCGGACGTCCTGACCCACGCGGACCATTCAGAAGCCAACCTTTTTCACGTCGTCCTAGTCGGGGGTTTGGACTAGGTCGAGGCCTCTTCCCACTAGATTGGCTCGAACGGCAACGGCAAAAGAGCCAAATAAATCAGAAGGGGTCACGATGAGTGAGAGGAATAACATCTTTGCGACTTGAAATCCTTTTCTGCCTAAGCAGGAGCACGACCCCGCACACCATATCCCGTGTGTGCGGGCTTTGCGCGCAGACGACACGAGCCCATTGGCATGTTAGATCCCTGCGTGCTTGAAAAGAGTCACGACAAACCTCTATGCTCTCAAACAAGATTTCAAGATAAGGGAGACAGATTCAAGCAGAGTTTGATATACGGATGATGCCGTGTACTGGTAATTGCTCCCAGAATTTCAAGGGTTTGTGAAAAGGTTGATAGAGTACAGGAGGAACAAGGCAATACTCATTTGCCTGTCTTCGTTGAGAAAGAAAATTTTTCGTCATCTCCAGCTTCCACATTCGACGTCTGATTGCTGGAAAAAAGTTTGCTTGGGTACTTCAACTTGACTATAACTTCCGCGGCGTCCATAATTAGAAATCAAGCTTTGACCTCGTGCAACTGAGTACCGAGGGTTTTTACGTGGAGATACATATTACTGTCGATGGTTCATAGCACTATTATGTCGCAGTGTTACCTCCTAGCTCATCTCGTAAATTCTGTATAATCCCTTCTGCTTCTGGGAATCGGGGCAGGAAGCGGCACTGAAAGTCTGGTATCGAACTTGGGATTTCATGAGCTCTAAAACAAGATAGTCGAGAAGAACTCTTACATCAGGATATCCTTGGAAGGTCTTTGCTTCGCTGGAGGGCCGGTGGGGGTCTCAGGTTCGATACAGAGGGCCCAAAGGATCATGCATATGTCGATGAAAAGCGCGTTGTCAGCGACATGCCGTCCTAAGCAAATCCTATCGTACGAACTTCGAATGAGGAGAGAAAAGCAATGACAGCAGGAGCTCACCTTCTCCCAAAACCATAAGCACAATGTCCGTCATCAACCTCGTATTCCTGTCGAAGCACAAATGCAGCTCCCTTTTCGGACTGTTGAAGGAATCGCTCCGGCCGGAATTGGTCGGCATCAGGACCATAAATATCTCTGTCACGATTCATGGACCTAGATTGAGTAGAGTCGGCGTCAATACGCTTCTTCGAAGAAAACATGAGAAGCTTACCACACATTTGGAATACATGCCGTTCCCTTTGGAATAAAATATCCTTCGTACCAATCATCCTAAATTAAAGCACAGTGAGTGGATCCCATGCCGGGGAGGAAAATACATGGAACGGACCTCTATTGCAGTGTGCGGGACAGCCAAGGGTATGGCGGGTTGCCATCTCAAAACCTGGCGTAGTTGGCGGTGATATCAACAGAGGAATGAGAAGTGGAAAGGATAGATGAACCTCTTTGACGATTGCCCTCAGGTATGGAAGTTCTGGCATGTCTGCGAAAGTTGGATTTCGTGATCTTCCTACCACACGGTCTAGTTCGCGTTGAGCATGCTGTTGAACGTTCGGATGTAAAACCATAGCATAGAGGAAGAGCATCAAGGTCGTGCTAGTCTGTTATTATTGATTGAAAAAAAATCGGGGATACTGCAAGGGGTGAAACGTACAGTTTCGAGAGCAGCAACACTTGAAAAAAAAAACAATCAGCTTGATATATCATAGAACATTGTGAATGCGTACGAGAGAGAGCCGGCAACCCAAGCCTTCTCAACATCACTCAAACCTTCCGCAACCTGGTCTTCTGCTAAGCTGACGCAAAGACTTGATCGGTGTTGGTCGTTCCGCATCTACTCCATACACATGATACAATCAGGAAATAAAGATACACTTGAACTTAGATAGAACTTGACTGTACTCACTGCATCATCAAAATACGTCTCGAAGATGGCTGAAATCCGCGAAAAGTCTTTTTGGGCATTCTTCTTCCACTGCGCTATTGTGGCAGGCAGATAATCTAATACAGGTAGAACGTCGACCAGATAAGCGCCGGGATATAGAGCATTAGTGAAGCGATGAGCGATGTTGCCGAGGGTTTCGAGTGGGTCCGGTGTAAGGCGAAGCTCGTCAGATGTGTCCGTTAACTTGAACGGCAATCGGACTTGGGAGTCCAGAGAAAGAGATTGTTTGCCATATATGACCGAGATTATGGTCGAAGCTGACCTATGATAAGCACATTCAATATGGAATCAACAGCAAAAGGCACAAGCCATACCGGTTTATTTTTGTGAGCAAAGGTGAAGAAGTATCACATAACAAATCGTGAGCGAGGATGATTGCTTCCTCGATCTGAACAGGCTGATACTGTGTGCTAACTCGAGCATTTAGGACTGCATGACCTGCACGACGCATACTTTGCCATCTAGAGAAGAGAATGGAGATCAGGATTGCATACAGTATCGATAAAATGAGGCTCATGCGCGACGTAACACATACGGTTTGCCATATCGTGCGAACGGCATCGATAATTGACTCCCAAGGTACTCCGCGACTACATTCTTGGGCCTATCTGAATAATTTGCAGATCGTCGCTCCAAAAGTTCTGTCGCTGCAGCTTGGGTGTTTAGAACGACGATATTTTTTCCTGCCATATTCAAATACATGATGGGACCTGTGCATGTATGAAGAATATCCTACGGATGGAATATCATACGGACGGCAACTTACCGTACTGGTATTTCCATTTATCGAAGATAAGCCATATCTGCGACGCTGTAGCTAGTTCAAGAACGTTCCCTAGAATGGGCAACCCTCGAGGGCCAGGTGGAAGGTGTTTTCGATTCCGGGAGAGCACCAGTTGCAGGACTAAGAGAGTGAGAGCTGCGAGTCCCACAAGAATAAAGCCCATCGATGCTGCGCAAGTCGAATTTACAGGGCAATACAAGGACTTCGAGCATTTTGCCCTTGAATTCTTATAAGCAGAAACCAATTAGGTCGAGAACAACAAGAAAAAACGAGACATATCGCAGCATATCGCTCACAATAGCGGTGTTGTTAGAACCCGAGATCGTACGGCGGGAGCACTAACCGAAGTAAAAATCCGAACATAACAGTGCCTAGTAGCGCCTGCATTAGATCAGGTAACAAGGCAAATAGATACGCGCATCTTTAGCTTTACGAACGATCGCAACCGGAGGAGGCGGAAGAGCTGGCATGGGAGTCCGCGGATGTAGCGCAGGTTCATCTCGGGTTTCTGTGAATCATGAGCTCTTCACGCTCAGTTCAACGATATGAAGACCGCAGGTAGTTTGTTTTATAAAGGTCCTTCCAACCGGAAAATCTACCGCCCAGATTCAACAAGAGTCGTACATCGGCAAAGATGAGTAGTAAAAAAGCTTAAAACCCTTATTAAACATCCCTGATATCCTGTAGTACGCATGCATCCTATCCTATCGTATCCAGTTGTCGAACATAGCGAATGATCTGGTTCCTGACAGGAGTCGAAATCGCGTCTGCTCGACTCTGGTCACGGTATTCGTGAATGACAAAAGAGGATTTCTCGAACAAGAACTACAAACCACAGAATCGCGTCGAAGGCCGCCAGAATCCGGGGCACATTCGATCTGGAATCTCAGGGTATCCAAGTTTACCCCCTAAAGATCGGGAATCGTACCCATTTGATGGGAAGGGAAGGAATGAAATTACTTCAATTACACCAGGATTAGTGACAATAACATGAATACACAGGCATACAGTTCGATGAAACAGTGTTTAACCATAGGCAATTGATGCTGCGGGTAAAATTTTTGGCACGTAACGCATAATCCGTAACATAGCCCAGAGCTCAAATGAGCCGTAGGCCCAAAAACTCGAAGCGGGGCTTCAACGCCGCACCGCGCGTTCCGATCAAATCCAACGGGCCTTTTCTTTCTGTTCCTCCCCAAGACATAAAATGAGAGAAGGCATATCCATATTGACTATGTACATACATGAACATAACAAACATAACAAACAACTAATACGCTACCAGTATGCAAGAACAAGTCATGGTAAACGTACCTGTAATTGGATTACATAATCAATCCCAAATGACTTTGAGAACTTGAATTTGGGTCTTGATGACCAGGTCTTGTCGCTTGAAGCTTGAAATTCTTGCAGCTCATTGCTATCGAAAATCTGAACATTGAGTAATTGAGCATTGAGGTTGGAGTAAAGTGCCTCCTTCATGAGAGAAGTCATCTTCTACACATGAGATATTGAAAGATGGTTTTGAAGTGCACGCAAATGTCCTATATTTCTTGTGTTTGGAGTTGTTGTATTTGACAAGATGTTGAGCGTGAAGTTGCATATAATAGTGGTATATTCAACCTTGAGGTGGCCAATTTTGGATGATGGGTGAATCTTTCTCTGCAGAGAATGCAAGTTCATAAGAGCATTGGAGGTGGTGGTGCGAGAGAAAGAGACGACGACGAAAATTTTACAAAGATCACATGAGCAAAAAAATCCCCATTTCGTATTCTCACATGACTAGAATTATAGACTAGGGATGAACAGACAGAAATTGAAGCAAGAGATGGCCTCAAGAATGCGCCGTTGCTTATTTTCGGGCATTGAGCCATGGCATCAATATTTGAAACTCAGTTCAAATGAGTATTTCGTACCTTGTTCATACTCAAACATTTGAACATGGGTTATATGAAGGTCTGACTGTGTAATTGGCAAGCGAGTTTTGTTCATGCACCCAGTCATTGTAGAAATTAGACAATTACATACTGTATCTTTTGAGTCTTGACATCTCCGCGAAACCTCAGCTCTCAACAATGTTCTCCGCATTTCCTGAATCTTCTAACCAAAAGAAGTTGCCAATAGCAGAGCCTAAGGCCTTTTTTGAGGATCTTTGACCCTTTGACCCCTGAGTAAACTGTAACATGACAAATTTGCCCGGAGATGAAATCAGATTGAGTGTATATGAAGAAGGCATCAGGAAGACATGTACAGTTACGAGGCTGAATATATGAAGACTCGTCCTTATGTACGTCGTTCAATTCGCGATTTAAGCACTGTACTTCCTTTTTAGACCACCTTTTTTGCCTATATATGGTATGGAGTCACAGAGTCTTGAAACCTTTCAGTTAATTGTGACATGCACATGACATGATGTGATTATTTAGTGACTACTCCCGAAATATTACCGCTGGTTTAGCAGCATTTAAGTCCATTTTCATTTTATTTTCTCACCATATGCTATGTATGGAGTATTGAGGAGGTTGTGCATGGGTGCTGACTGCGCGCCCTAAATCTTTGACTTATGATTAATCCAAATACTTCAATGCATTGGTTCCACTGGCCAAGTGAATGCTATGCACAGCTGTGCAGTGGCCCTCTGTCAAGTCCATGCCGCGGGCCTCCATTCCGCCGCTCGGTACTCCGAAGATCTGCTCCTTATTGTAATCTCACTCTTATTGTTCTTTCTCGCTACACATACCCTTTCGTTCTAGTCCCTTCTTATTGTCTTTTACTTTACCCTGCAGGTACTACTCGTATAGCTCCTAGTAGTTAGTCTGGCGCTCCGCACCGCTGCGCCGTTCCGTAGATATAAATACTGCCTGTACGCTACTGTAGTTCCTCAGTTTAATTATCAACTTAGATCAACTTAGATCTCCCTTCTCAACTTAACTCTTCTCTAAGTCTTCAGGCTCAACGCCTTGGAGTACTCCCTATTATAACCTTAGGAATTAGGCGTCCTCTGGTTCACTCCTCGTCATCGGCGATACCGCCGCTCCGACCTGGCTGCTACTTAGCTCCTCTCTCTCTACTCTCGCTCTCCGGGGACTAACGGCGTAACGGCGGTGTTGTTAATAACTTCACTACTGTCCCACTCGTCTTCCGCACTTAGACACCTTGTGACTTTGGCACGGTTATACGGTGTACATGATCTTAACAGTATAATTAAACTCAATCCGTTAACGTCGTACTGACATATCATTTTTTATGCCTCCGAAAACTCGAGCTCAATCTAGAGCTAACTCCGAAGAAAACACTTTCTTCACTACAGCTCAATCATTTGCCCCATTCTCCGACTCTATCTCTGCCATCGGTCAACCACGTCGCCGTAATCGCGGTTTCGGTCCAGCCACAGTTCCTACTACGTCGACTCTTCCTGAAGCCATGGAAGAGGAACAACAATTTGAGTACAGCACCTTGTACACTGGTGACGGACAACCTGTTCAAGTCCTGACCCCTCGCCGTGGACAACCCCCCGTGGTCGCTCCGGCTCGGGGCCGGTCTACTACTCGAATTGATTCTCCAATTCTCCAAGCCATCGCCCGCCGTACGGGGAAACAACCCCAACGTCGTGCTACTTCTGAATCTCCTTGTGACCCACCTCCTCACTTCGATTTGGACACCGGTGATCACGATGATCAAGACCCTCCTGTCGACCCCGACGATCCGGGCGCCGACAACAATCATGACGATCTGGATGACGACTCCGGCGGTTTACCGCGTGGTGAACCTGGTGACCCCAGTGGACCTGGTGGTTCTGGTGGTCCCGGCGGTCCCGGCGGTCCTGGTGGACCTGGTGGACCTCGTACTCCCATATCTCCTGACATCCCCAACGAGCAACGTGCTATGTTGGAACTCCTCTCGGGGTTCAAGGGCTCCATTGAGACCCTTGGTACCGTCCTCGCCGCTCTCGGCCGCCCCTCTGACAGCTCTGAATCCAAGAGCAAGGTCAAGGAGCCAGAGGTATTCGACGGTTCGGATCCCCGAAAACTCAAGACGTTCTTTGTCAATCTCGCCCTGGTCTTCAATGACCGTCCAAAGTACTTCACCGACCAACGGAAGGTGAACTATACCCTTTCCTATCTCAGTGGGTCAGCCAAAGAATGGTTTGTCCCTGATATTCTCGACCCGGATCTCGACTCGCTGCCGGCCTGGACATCCTCCTTCAAAGCCCTTGTAAAGGAGCTTCAGGATAATTTCGGCGTTTACGACGCCCAAGGCGAGGCCGAAGATTCTCTCGGTAATCTGAAGATGAAGGAAACCGAGAACATCCGGAAATACAATATCCGGTTCAACACCCTGGCTGCTAGTACCAACTGGGATTCTGCTGCCCTGAAATGGGCTTATGGACGAGGCCTAGCTGAACGCATCAAGGACGAAATGGCGCGTTTGCCCGAGCCGGCGACGCTCACCGATTATCGTCAAGAAGTTCTTCGTATTGACAATCGTTATTGGAAACGCGAGGAAACTAGAAAGCGTGAGGCTGGTAAGCCTTTTGTTGCTCGGAACCCGAAGAAGGGTTCCTCGGACTTCAAGACTGGTTCTTCTAACCAGCATAACAATTCTCAGCCTTCTGGCTCTTCGGCGCCGTTCACGCCGAAGCCTAAACCCTTCTCTGGTGGTAAGCCTAACAACAATGGTAAGCCCCAGAATTCTTCGAATTCCGGCCAATCCGGTGGTCAGCGCCCCGCGTTCAACCATCTTGGTGCAGATGGGAAAGTCCTTCCCTCCGAGAAGGAAAGAAGGATGAAGAACAACCTTTGTCTCTTCTGCGGTGGTAAGCATCAGATTGCTGACTGCAATAAGCGAAAGGCCCGAGAATCGAAGGGCCGTGCTGCCGAGGTTGAAGAAACCCCCGAAGCAACCGTTGAGGTTGTTGAAGAGGAATCGGAAAACTAGTCCGCAGCTCTTGTTCCCCGGTACGAAACGGGAGCTGCATTGATCAGGTTCGTACCTCACCTGGGGAGTTATATCTCAACGCGTCCGCTCTTTCCTCTATTGAACGATCTCTTGTAATATCTTTGACTACTGAATTTTTGTTATCCGATTCGGCCGCGCCGGCCGAGCCCATCTCTGCTCTTCTCAAATTTCCTACTCTTGTTGATTCTGGTTCTACTGACTCTTTCATCGATACTCGTTATGTTTCTCAGAACTCTATTCCTACGACCAAAATCTCTCCTGTTAATCTTCGTCTCTTTGATGGTTCATTATCTTCTAAACCCATTACCGATATGGCAAATATCGCCGTTCGGTTCCCTTCCGGCGAGCTGCTTCTCTTACCCTTTTATGTTACACATTTAGATTCATCTTGTAAAGCAGTACTAGGTTACAGTTTCTTAT